ACCCGAAAATGGCTGCGTGCGAACTGACGTGTGTGAATATGCGAAAAGCTTAAAAAAAAAATGCGGCGCGCGAAAAATTTTTTTCCTTGCCGCAGACATTTTTAGATGCATACATACATATGTATTTACAATTGTATGTATATAGCCACATGGTATATACAGGAAATATATTTGGTACTAATTCTTTGAGCCTATTCCTATAATAAAATAAAGGCATAACATCATAAATCAAAAAAAACTCCGATCGCTTGAAAAAAAATTATAAATTTTTTTAATTTCCCATTTTAATTTAAATAAAGATTATTCTATTCGTTATTTAGCGGAGTTTGTGCATACGTTGGGTTTTTGAGGAAAAAAATAATTGTATGCATTTATAATCGCCATTCTACTTCACTTTGGGCCAATTGTAAGATGTTTTTTGGGGCAACAGCGAAACATTGCCCATCCATGTGGGTCTAAGAGGATTTTGTTTCGCCTCGTCGATTTTTTTTTTACAGTGGATTGATGTTTCCACTGTTTGATTACAAATTCCGTAATTAACCGTGTATGTTCCTTATATATTTAAGTAAAATTTTTTTTCAGCACATAATGATTGTCTTCAGATGCACACATGTAATGAAATTTAGCGAACAATTTTTTGGTCTAACATTTTAAGCCCTTAAATTCTCCCATGATGTGCCTTTTTACCGCTATTTTGAAGAATTTAATTAAAAGGAGCAGTGCTGGGGGACTGTTATTTACTCTTTGCTATATAATACATATACATACATACATATGTATATGCATGTACATACGCACTTAAGGCAACACAAAAAATTGCCTTTTCATGTTCATATGGTATCATTGGGAATACACACTAACATGAGCTGCTCAGGAGCCTTTTTCATTGCCCAACAGACAATTAAATGCCATTACAATTACAAGCAAAATGTACTCATATGCGTACAAAAACAAAATTCGATCGCTCAACTAAAGAACTAAAGTTGTAAACAAAATAATAAAAATATTAGTCATCAACTAAAATATGCAAAGCGGCATTCAGTGCGTGGGCTGATTAAGCGCAGAGTGATAGCAACAGCAGCAAAGTACTACAACGTAACGCAACACAACAATGGACGTTTGTCGGTGCATAGGAAGGAGCCGCACAGTCACAGCCGACAATAACAAAACACTTTGAATGGCCTTCAAAATGTCGTCCTTTTATATTCTGATGGCTGATAGTCGCAAATGTCAAATGTAAGTATCAACGCTGAATTGTCTGGATTGGCCAGCTCTCAGAAACTACATATGTACATACATATGTAGATACCCTGCAGGGAAACCGTGGACTAGTGAATCAAATTTCGAGTTCCGTACTAGATCTTTATCGCCAAAAACGAACCAGTCCGATAGTAACTAGATCCCCACCAGTCCAAAATCAGCGAAATGTGGCACTAAACAAAAAAACTATCTTATTTCACTTTTTCCATTAAAAATCTATATTTAAAGTGAACTTTAGAAAAAGGAATTCAGAACGAACTAGATCTTATCTGTCGAATTTAGAACTAGTTTGGAACTATCGAAAAATGGATGCCGCGGGTGGCTTGTTTACTTTACATAGATATGTGTTTGGCGGCGTTCGCGCATTTCATTGTGCACTTCACAGATGCTTTTTCATAGTTTGGTAATACAAAGCGAAAATTTGTGCTAACATTTTAACATCTTGGGACCTTCTGGAATCTTACCAATAACAGCAAGCGACTCTGCAAACTCAGCTAAAGCCAAAGGTATGTGAACGTACATTTCTTACAATAATTCTAACAAATTTAATTTCAAATTGAAAACAAATTTCTTTGAAAATAATTTAAAATCGCACACAGAAAAGAACCAAAAATATTGTAACATCATGATATTTTTTTCTTTTGTCTGTCGATTTTAGAACTGGTTCGGAGTTATAGAATTTAGGACTAGTTCGGAACTATCGAAAAAGGTATGCAGCGAGGGGCAATTGACGCTTCGTAGGACATCGCTATATTAAATTCGCCAGATGTTTGCACGCAAAAGAGATTCGTACTTTATTATAATAAAATTGAATGGGCTACAAATCTGCATACTCAAAAAGATCTAAAATATCTTATTAAAAATTTGCATGAAAAATTGCTGAATTTTCGTGAGTTTTCCACAAAGTTTAGGAATTATATTTTTATGTTTTTTTTTTTTTAGAATAAAAAATTTTTTTTTCTCAAAAAAAAAAAAAATAAAATTCCTAAACTTTGTGGAAAACTCACGAAAATTTTTATGTTTTTTTTTTTTGTAGAATAAACAATTTTTTTTTAAATTGGCGGAAAAATATTAGAAAAAAAATGTTGCATATATTGTGAAAAATTTGCTGTGCCAATACTTTTTGCCGGCAATGTATATCTTTACTGTAATGTTTTTTAAACGGTTCTAGCTGTTACTGCCAATATGGAAGTATTACATATATGATAAAGCATAAAATGCGTGAGACCGTTAGCAACAAGCTTTCAAAAAAAGCAACGCTAGTTTTTGTAAATTGCACTTGTTATATACAAAGTTGAAAATTTTCGTGAAATTTTTTTGAATTTTTGTGAAATTTATATGCTTTATATTAAATAAATAATACAAAAAAATGTTCATGAAAATAATTGTGAATATTATATTAGAACAAGGTGTACACTTTCATTTGTCTCCTAGTGTAGATAGATACATATCTGCTTATGTATATGAAACTAACAAATAAATGATTTTTTTTGGTATTGGTGGATTTTTGCAATGCAAAATATTGACAATGCAAATAAGAGATTTAATCGCGCAAATTGATTTTGTCTGGGTTTTTTTCTTATTTTTCGTGGTCCCAAGCATGGTTGGACATCTAAAGAATGTGAGTCGTCATTGAAATTGCCCTTAACGCTCTGACGCGCCAGGAAAATAGTCGAAGAGCGTCATAATTGATGACGTTTGAGCAGATTTTGAGTAAATAAATAAATAAAAATATTCTTTAGCGACACAAGGTGAGCGCTCAGAAAATGTTTCGCCTTCACTCTTGCGTGATTTTTTAATGCCAAATACTTGGCTTTCATTTATTTTTATTTTTGGCATATTTTTTTCCCCGCAGTTTGTTATTTCATTTTAGTTATTTATTGGTCAGTGCATTGAGTTGGTCTAGACGTGCGTTTCGTATGGCGAAAGCAAGCGTTGGCTTTGGCAATTATTATTAAATAAACATTTGTGTGCGTAAGTATTTGAAATCATGTCGCTTCAATTAGAATCCTATGAATTTAAAATTATGATAAAAAGAAATTCAAAAAAAGAATTAAAGTACTATTGTCCTGATTGGCGGAAAATGGCATTAAAAGTTTACTGGCGAGTTAATGTTCGTCAAGTTATGCTTAACGAGAAAATTAGATTTCAAATTTAATTTAAACTCGTACACAAATTTTAACCATTTGACGACCAAGAAACACTTGTCCGCCCCGAATCAATGGCGACCAGAAGCATATTTCAACTATAATGTGGTAATAGAAAAGTAGTAGTGATAGTAGTAAATGTAGTACTAATAGTAGTAAAAGTTATAGTAATAGTAGTAGAATAGTAGTAAAAAAGGTGTCATTTAACGGACCCCGCCCACTTACGTGAGCAATTTCAATAGGTTCGGACCCGACAGTAGGCATGTAAAGAGCTGGTGGTCGAACCCGTGGGGTGTACCCTCGAAGATGCCAATTAACGTACCAGGAAGACGCTTCTGCTTTTTTGGCGTAGGTGGCATTCCATTCCCTCACGGAAAGCATCTGTGCTCAGCCAATTAGAAATAAATCTTGCCGATCACCCCATGTTTAAAATCATGGAGCTTATCTGAGCTCTTAACTGCAGTTAGGACTTTGGTGGATATATGCTATAAGATAGCTCTATCTCCGTAAGCTACTAGTCTACTTTGAAGAGCAAGATGTATAAGAGTTTTCTCGAGTTTTTCTCGGGTCCCAAGCACGCGACCAAGTCGTTCGGACGATGTAAAGATGGTCTCAACACATTTTATAGTGGCGGCTGGTTTTTCCAGTCATTTTCTCGTTGAACTAAGGTCAATGAAAACCCATTGCCACTGCAGTTTCAAACATAGACATATGTATGCACAGCCCATAGTCCTTTTAGATACTTTGTGAATTCTACAGGCTCCAATGATTACCTAACCGACAAGTTTACTTAGAAATTACTTAGAGTTAGAAACAAGTGAACACGTTCTTAAAAAATTATACAATGACTATGAATTCAATTTTTGGCTAAAGTACTTCAAGGAAGGTCTAACAAGATCAGCTTTCAAAATATTATTTCATAAGCCGCTTGAGAATTGCTATGTAGCCAAAAAAAATAAAAAGGAAAAAAGGCAAGACTGTGGCATGGCATACTTTTAGGAAGCGCTTCCTGATGAAATATATTTCGATTTTTTGCTCAAAATTTCACAGAAATGTACATAGTAGTAGACACTCATCACCAATATTCTCACACCCACAACACAGTTAGGCCCTTTATTATGTTACTCGCAGGGAATCCAAACTATTGTCATATCCACAGCATTACATAACATTGCTACTGTTAAGATCGTGTCCGACGTATTTCGTATGCAATCTATTTCGAAAGAGGTCTTTCGAGAGAGGTTTTTTTATTTCCGAGAGGCGAAATGCAAATTGCTAATGCAGCACGAGCAAGCTGAAATATATTTCCGAAATCGATTTGCGCACTTTGAGCTGCAGTCACATCTTGCAACATTCATTTCTGAAAGTGATTTCCGAAAAGTGACAGAAAGGTCTTTCAGGCTGTTCACACATGGAAATAAAATTTCTCTTTCTCAATTTGACAGCGAATTGCGTGGAAAAGTTGGAAATATTGCCAAGTCTGACACGCTCTTTACTGTTAAATCTTTTATTTTCTCTATGTCAAATATAAGTAAGCACATAGTGTGTTTGTATGCAATAGTACGCGTGCAAGATATCGATTTACGTACTCACCTTGAAAGTCTGCGTTTGACATTATCATCATTTGCTGATTTTGTTGTAGCTTGTTGTTGAGTTAATCTGCAAGCGAAAAAAAAAATAGAATTTAAATATTCAAATAGCACAACAAATTAGTTACTGAAGCAAACAAACGATCGAAAAAAATTGATTGAGATTGTATGATTGAATTGAGAAAGCCGTGTATGGTAGATAAGTTATTTACTTGTGAAGCAATTTGTGCAGATATGTTAATGGCTTGATGATTACTTTCCCAAATAAAGCCGAAACTCGTGAGTGCCAAATTTTTATATCGATCAAAAGAACTTAAAAATAGTATATCCGGTGAGTTGTTAGCAGCAACTGGAAGGCAGAGCTAGCCTACAGCCCAAGGGTCGGTCGCCATCATCAGCGACTTTTTTACTAACTTCCAGTCGCAATTTTTTTGAATTGCCGCAAGGAAAGCAAAGACGTAAGAGTGTAGAGACTGAATAAATAAGTCATATATTTCTGGTAGATGAAATACTCCTCGATTTTTTTTTTGAGTAAAGTGTAACCTTTATTTATTTTAATACAGATCCCCCTGTCATGCTCTTTAAGATATTGTGTGATTTTTTTTATCAAAATATTGCTCTCTTGGTATGCAAATGACAAAACTTCCGTATAACTCTCATTCAAATGAAAAAATTAAGAGAAAATTAAATTCGAAAGGAACGAATGAAAAAGTAAAAGGACGAAGACAACAACGTTCTGCAGATGTGTAAGTAATTGCTTTCTCGAGTATAATTAATGCGCAGGATGAGGATGTGGTGTGGCAATATCCGCTCAATAAATATGCAAATGACCACGCGAGGAACTGGTATGAAGATGTAGAGGGAGTAGTGGGGTGCACTATAAATACGACTATGGTAAACAGCAGGAGATATAAAGAGGCGCCTAGTTTTATTTTGACAGGAAGGTGTGAAAGGAAGTGAACGCAAATGCTATAAATTTTGTTAAAAAAAAATATGCAGCCTATTATAAAAAGATGTTAAGCAGTATGTAAACATTATGTTGCCTCACCAAAAACTTGAAGCGAAACTATGTATATATGTAAAAATATGTTAAAAAATTAATTCACATAAAAACATTTTTTTATTTTTAAGGCGTTTTTTAGGCGTTTAAATTCAATATCTACTTTTTTATGTGTCTTCAAATTAGTAGCGGAGAAAATACGTTTTAAGACAGTTTTTAGTAAGGAAAAACAAAAGTATTAAAATCCTTTAAAATGTTAGTTATTTTAAATATCGGCAAAGCTTTAATGTATATATGTACATAACTATATATGTGCATACATATATATGTAGGTCTAGCAGTTTTTTTCATTACATACATACATTTTTTTAGATAAATTTTTTAATTTATAATTTTCCTTTTTTGCCTAATAAAAACTAATATTCTATAAATGAAAATGTTTCCGCCTATAACTTCTACCATAAGTAAATTACTGTTGTTGGAATATAAATTTTAAATGTTCAGTAAATTTTTATAACATTAATCTTAGGTACATTTTTTTGCAGCACATATACATACATAAATTTTTTCTACAAATTTTCGCAAACCTTTCTTTTAAGAAGTGTTTGCAATACAAGTTTTTTCAGTAAAATTTCCAGTAAATTTTTGTTGGCAATGTAACTTTGTTCAATAAATTTTTTTAGTTCAAATTATAATTTTTATGAAATTTCCACAGTAACCTTTTTTTACGTTTGCTACATAAATAGTATGTACTTATATAGATAAATTTCTGTCTAGAAATGTTTGCAATACGAACATTTTAAGTAGTTTTGATTTTGTCCCGCAAAAATTAGTTTTAGAGCGTGATTGAGGTAATTAAAATGACGGAAATTATAAAGATTTTATTGAAAAAAAAATTACTTGTGTACGAGACATCCTAATGCGTATATGTATGTATGTACGCTTAGCTTAAATATACATATGTACATGTGTATTTAAATGTAAACATGCAAATACATTAGGGTGGTTAAAAATACACGTGAAAAAGTAGAGTGGGATTTTTATGCTCTCACGATTGTTCTATACCGAAAAAGTATACCCCTCTTTTCTTAATTTAAAATCAAAAAATATTTAGAGGTCGCTCAAAGCGCCCAAAGTTTTCCATGTACATATTTTGTATGGGGAAAAAACAACTTTTCGTAGAACTGGTATAGAATTCTTAAAAATAAATATTTTTCTATCGGAAAACTCTGTTTCTCTGCAACAGATTCCCAATAATAATACTCAATTGTTTATTTAATCATTTTTTCATCGAAACTATAATTTATAGGTTCGCCAAAAAAATGGGGGGAACAATAAAAAATCGTTAGTATTAAAAAATGGTTAAATAAAAAATTTGGTATTATTATTTAAAGTCTCCTGAAGACAACCGTAGTTTTTCGATCGAAAAATATTGATTTTCAAGAATTCTATACCATTTCTACGAAAAAATGTTTTTCCCCATATAAAAATATATGGAAAACTTTGAGCGCTTTGAGCGACCTCTAAATATTTTTTTGATTTCAAAATAAAAAATAAGGGTATACTTTTTATATTCGATATAGAACAATCCTAGGGGGTGAGCGCATTACAAATTCGACTTTACTGTTTTTGGACCACCCTAATGTGCATATGTACTTTTGTATCTATTGCATGAAGGTACGCCTTCAAAAAAGCGCTCACCCTCCGACAAAATCAATGCAAAACACCTATGTACATACGCACATGAGTACGTATGTATGTATGTATGTACATACTCGATCCTTCCCGTTAAGAGTCTATTTTTTTGCTGTTCATGTTTTTCTGCAACATCGACTTTTTCCAGCACTTTCTATTTCTATAAATTTCATTGCATTTTACTCTGCATTTGCGTATTTTTTTACCGTTTTTTTTTTTTTACATTTTAAAATTTGCACAACCTTCAAAGTAGCTAAGCTTCCACAGCGATTTCCGCTTCTCTTACGGCTTGCGGAAAAATTCATCTCCGCTTGTTTACCTACCACGCTGTGTTGTCAGCAATTTTCGTGCGCTTATATGTGCGTCGGTGTGAGTGCGTAGGGCGCAATCAACCAACCTACCCTACATGCATACCCCATTCAGGCTATACCACCCACCACCACGGCCCACTTTCCGAACACAATAAAGAGCGAAATGCAAAACGTCTCAACACCACCACCACCACCACCATCTCGGCAACCCCTAACAATAACAACTTCTATCCTCCTCTCTTATGCGCTGGCTAGCGCTGTGCATTATCACTCACCTTATTTTCGTATTGCATAAATGTGATTTGTGCTTTTGCGATTTATTCAATTGCTTTACATGGCGTTTGAGATTGATGCAATTTTCCCAAAACGCTTGACACTTCTTATGAATTTCGTGTGCACGTATTTTGATGATGAAAAAAATTACACGATTTTTAAGTGATTCTAAGTGAGTTTGCTTGTCGGGTGGTTGCTGCTTATTGGAGTCACTTTACCTTAAGGATTCTCAAAAATTTTTTCTACGACGTAAATATTAAATACACTGCGTGCAGGAAGACCCTTTCAACTCTACTGGCTGCGTGTTGTGCAACTTTTCACTAATTTGTTGGCAAATTTTCTCACAATATAGCGCAACTGCCTAAACAATTTGCTTTTCGCAGTAGAATTTTCACATCATTTTAAATTTTTTCCCCCATAAAGTATAGATACTCATAACATTTTGGCATTTTTGGAATCCATACAACTAGCGCTCGCGTACTCCGTGCAACCGTCACTGCAGGCGTGTGCTCTCTATACTGAATTTTCGCAAGTGATTATGACATCTCGCAGACCCAAAGGCAAACCAGCCAGCCATAGATGACAGAGACAGACGCGAAGACGTCGACGACATTGACGACGTTGGCAGCGCCTTTAAACCGCCTTCTATTCGCCTTCGGTGATATTAAGAAGCCTTTTTCAGCCTCCTGCTTTCTTGATGGGGCGCGTTTAGCGTATTCGCGCACACACGAAGCCACCGTCATCGACCGTAGTCGCAGCAGCAGTGTTCATGTAATCACAAACCTCATCCGTTGTGGTCGCTAGCGTAGCGCCCGCTCCCCCAAGCAGCGTTGAGTAGCACAGCCAGCAGCTGCTTGCCTTCTTGTCCAGATGTGCGTCGTGCGCTTGTGCTGTAGGCGGGAGGTGGTTAGCCCTTTGCCCCTTGCCTTGCCTTACCGAAGTCGTTTTGCTGCCACTTCTGTGTTCGCTGCCGCGTCGTTGATACAGCCAACGCTTAGGCGCATTTTCAGCTTCCCTTACGAGTCGCCGTGCATCACGTGAGTCCTACGACTGCGCTCTCTCTTGCATGCGCACATTTGTAATACGCCCAGCGTCAAGCATTCCATACGACAGCTTCGCGTGCGTTCTCCCTCTTTGCGCTCTCGTTAGCACCCGGCAGCTTCTTTGCTGTCAACACCGACAATTTTTTTAAATGGTCTAGCGACAGCGCATGCGCAAACAAATTTCGAAATTGCAACAGTACTGTTATATGCGAATTCTAAAAAAATTCGAAATCAACAAACGTGCGACATTTGTGGCAAGTTGTCTAATTCTTTTAGTCGATGTGGGCTTTCCTTCTTGTTGTGTTTTCATTTTGCCGCGGCTGGTAGGCTTCTCTTACACCGTCCATAGTTGGCTGTGATTTGCGCCGCCAATACATATTCTTGAGCCATTAAGTCATCACCTTTGCCTTATGCCAACAGTTATTAGTTGCTTGGTTATTATCATGTAACCGTTATTTAATATTGTCATTTTTTCTTCTGCTTTGCGATAATCTTCAAGCATAACCTGCCGTTCGAAGAAGAATCGGAAACTTTTGCAATGCGCTAAATTTAATTTTACAATCTCTGTCTTACATTTCGTGGTTGAAATTTTAAAGCAATTAGAGCCACGCGCCACTGTTAAAAGCTGCATTCTTAAACTTTTCTTTAAAAAGTTCAGTGACCCCCAAGCCAATTGACTCACTGCGAAAAAAAATTGCGAAGAATTAAATAATAATAATGTACATATCGTCACCTGAAATGCGAAAAGCTGTAACTAACAAAGACAAATTTTTGCAAAAACGGCATGGGGACTTGTAATTCGATGAAATGTTTCATAATCAATCAATAAGAAAATATTGGATTTTTCGAATTTCAGGTGATGATATCGCACGTTTAATAAGATAGAGAATTATTTAAAAAAATAAATTTTGTGGGAAAACGCAATCAACTTTGATCAATTCATACAGTTGCACAGTGGGCCAAAAGAAATAGAACGTGGCCAAAAATTTTTTTTGGCTATTTAAACGTGAAAAAATGAAAAAAAAAAAAAATACTTTGATGGTATAGCTTATTGTCTAAGGTATCAAAATCCGCGGTACATCGAAAAGAACCAGGTGTCCAAAAATTATGGAAAATCCGAAAAGGCACGTATTTTAAATTTTTTGAAGTTTTAACAGCCTCAACGGATTTAGCCCTAGTCTGTATCGGTGACAAAAATTTTTTACTGACAAATTTAAACTTATTCATATACTTTTCCGTAATAAAATCTGTGAAAAAAATTTGTCACAGATACAAAATAGAGCCGTTATTATATTTTCTCCCATTCTACTTGGTATTTTCTGTAGGAAGTTTCTGGACAAAAATTTAAAAACAGGGTTGCCAGATATAAGAAAATTTATAATTATTCAAAAGCTGCAAAGCATACTTCAATTTCTGTATTTTAAAAATTTTTTGCAGAGTTAAAACAAAATTATTTTGTAGTGGGGTTGCCACCTTCTTTCTAAAAAGTTACCGTTACGTTTATTAGAAAATGTATGCTTATTAAATATCATAATATGGGTATCAAACGGAAAGTGTTTGAACAAGCTTTAGCATTAACATGATTTTGTGTTAAGTTGCCTATCTATCAACTAAGGCTATCATTTTAATTATTTAAATTATATTATTTAAAAAATAAGAATGCGAATTTAATTGAAAAATGTTAAGTGGTGCATTTTATGTTAAATTATTTAAAACAAAAATTCCTTCATGTGACTAAAATTGATAAATGGATATTAAAAATTATTTCAAAGTTTAACCTGTTATTAGCCTGCAAATTTACACACTTGCAGTATGCAGTGCCTACCACGAGGAAGTTATAGGAATAAAGGACCTCACTTTTTTATTTTATTTTTTAACGGAAGAAAAACCCAACAACAAAAAAAGCTTTCATTAATTACAGTGTAATCTTAGTCATCAGAAATTAGATTTCTTTATTTACTTATTTCTTTATGTTTTTAAAGTTCGTATTTTTTATTATTTTTTTTGTTGTTATTTAAATTTAAATTAATTATAACCTTATTGCGCATCGGGAGGCTAAGTCCTTTCATTTAAAAACTCACTGTTTAGTCCAACGAACATCCCACATCTTATAATTTTTCGTACAGGTGGTAACCCTCTTCGAAAAAGAACCTTATTGCACATCTGGAGGCCAAGCTCTTAGACAGGACACCTCATTTTTTATAATTGAATGAACTGTACAAATCTGATGTCATTAACAAAAAATGCCACTAAAAAAAATAAAATCTTATTGTACATCCGGAAACCACATCCTTTCACTTGATACCTCCTTTTAAGTCCAAAAAACGGCGAGGATCTTATAATTTATAAAAATGTGGCAACCCTACTCAAAAAATAATACCACACTAAACATCTAGAAGCCAAGCCCTTTTATTTGACATCTCACGTTATCGATTCGGTGTGATTTTCTATTTTATTTTTCCATTTATCTTCACTCTGATATCGCTTCTTTTCCGAGCTTTTTTACATACATACACTCATGGACAAAAGAATAGTATTGTTTGTAACTTATGTTTATTTATTTTTAATAATTTTAACTTAAAATATAGTTCGAAATTTCAAAGCTTACACAAACTTCAGCAAAATTAACAAATTTCCAAAAATTTGCATCCAAATTTCACACTTTTTATGCAGAATTTTCGAGTATGCAGTTTTGTAAGCCATTCAATTTTAGTAAAATAAAGTGCAAGTTTCAAGTTGAGTTGAACATTTTCTTCCATATAATGCATGAACAAAATTTATTTTTATATGGAACTTTTGTGAACTTTGTGTAGGTTTTAAAAATAATAATAATAATCCCAACGGACGAATTACATTTTAAACGAAAGTTATTAAAAATATAAATAAATAAACTTTAATTACAAACAATGTTATTTTGAGTTTTGCTCCTATTCTTTTGTCCATGAGTGTACACACTCGACATAACATACATACATATTTATGTAGAAATTTTTTGGCAACGATTTTGTTTACATTGCTGGTAAATGTGTTTCTATTCTGCGGTAAATTAGGAGTCAGATGCAGTGGGGCATAGCGTGACATGAAATACCTGCCACAACTAACTTCGACATTTCTTTGCTGCACAAAGTTTATTAGTGTTTTATGTCTTTTCTACCTTCAAAAGTGCACTAGCCAAAAGTGAGGGGCTTTTTATGTCAGCAATAATATTTATTGGCCTAGTACCGACCTGCGTTCGAATTTTCGCAAATACCAAATAAATAAGGGTAGACAGATTGAATTTTCATGATTGTGTGAATAAATTTTAGTCGAACATTTTAGTGCATTGAGTCATTTGAAAATGAATTCAACAGCATGGGACTAATGCAATATTGTGGTTGTTTTTCAAAGTCACAAGCAACAACAATCCGTGTGGCGTTTTTTTTTATCTAATTTATTCGAACTATTCGACTGGTAATTTGTGTTGTAGTTAAACAGAAATTAATCTTCCCCCACAAATGCTATTTTATTTTTTTTTATTTTTTTTATACTTCTTTCTCAAGCTCTTTTTAAGCTTGTTTACTTTGACAACGATTAATTACCAACTCATGTCCGCGTGTGTGGCGCAAGGAGCACCCTGCAGGAAATGCGGAAGAAGCTAAAATTATCGAGTGGTGCCAGTCAGAGTCCTCAGGCTGAATAAAACTGTTTTAAATTTAGTAAACTTGGGCTAACACCTTACACAAATAAAAAAATGGTCTGGAGTAATATATTAATATACCCATCGATAAATATGCATATCGATTAATTTGTAGATCAATCGAGCAATCTTATCGATTAAATTGTCTATTAAATATATCGATATCCAATAATATATCCATCGATTAATATGCCTGATTACTTTTTAGTTTTAAAAGTTTTTCTATCGATAGCAATATTGCACACAAAAATACCAACAAATATATCGAAAAATATTGATTCATCCACCGATAATTTATTGAAAATTCAATTGGCAGATAATCGATACAAAAATCGACAACTAAATTTCAGGCAATATTGATAATAAGATGGATCTTATCGATAACGATACCAACATGACAGTATTATGATATCGATTAATGTATCGGTAAACTTAACAATCACGATTATTAAGTGACGGAAAATCTCTGCACTACATTACGTGCATTTTATCGATAAGTATAATTTTAAAAGGCGTTCAAAGACGTTCCGAACATTTCGTATAAAAATGAGTTTTCCTGTCGGGTATTCTAACAAAAACACAATAGTAGAAAGCCCAAAAATGAAAAGTGCCTACTACCCGAAAACGTCATTATTATTCTTGCAAAAAGCGCGAATGGTTGGCAAAAAAAAATCGATATTCGACGAATCACGAAACTTTAGCCAAAACCTAACGGATCTAACTACATACATACTGATGTACATACATATCGTCGTTTAAAATGCAAAACCGCGTATCAGCAAAATGCAAAACCGCGTATGTGAAGTTGTAGAAATTATTTTCTAGAGCGTAAAAACACTCATATTTCAAAATGGTTCACTTTTTTATAAAGCATTCGCATTTCTGGCTAGTATATTTCAAGACGAATGGATAAGGATTGGGCCAAGAGCTTGTGAGAGCAATTTTCCAATTTTTGACAGCCAATGTCAGTTACGCGGCTTTGCAGAATGACGATATGCGGTTTTGTACTTTAAACGACGATATGTATGTACAGTATTGGACATGTCTATAACAAACCCATTTCAAAGGGCTATTACATATTTGCCACTTATGTTTAATTATTTATTGTTGAGCATTTTCAATTAAAATACAGTTCATTCTCTAACAAAACTAATATAAAACCAAGTTTAAAACTTTTTAAAAGACTACAAAAAACGCAACAAATTTTAACCCAAATTTCAAACTTTTTTCTCAGAAGTGTAAGAATTTTCTCGAGTATGCAGTTTCATAGCCCATTCAATTTTAGTCCGATAATGTGCAAGTTTAACGTCGCTAAAAAATTTTTTATTAGTCTGTATTTTAATTTAAAATTCCTAAAAATAAATAAATAAACATGACTGGCAAACAATATCAATTTGAAATGGGGGTGCTATTGTATTGGCCAATACTGTATGTAGAAGCATCAGTTTGTATGACGAGTTAATCATGCGATATGTACAATATTTATTGCGTAATTCATAGTTACATACAGAATGAGAGGTGTGACCGCATAGTCGTGATGTGATCATTTACCACGTGTCTAATCTGATGTCATCAATGTGGAATAGTTTTAAAGAAGATGTACTAACACGCACACTACGTATGTACATGCATACATATGTAGTCGGCGACATGATGTGATGTGATGTAATATGATGCGATAATGAGTGCGATGTCAAGTGATTATTATCTATGACATGTGCTTGTGTTAGCGTCATGAGTTTGATCTAGTCAAATGCAGCAGTCATATGAGGTCAAGTATAAAATTGAAACTCCACTACCGAATTAAATAACACTACATACATAAATAATAGCATTAAAAATTTCAAATTTTGTAGCCATACACGTACTATAAATACACACCCAGCTTCATATTGGCCGGCATTAAACTCACCTTTCCTCCGTTTTCGACTTCAATCCCACCGATGCTGTCGTCACCTTCAGCGCTTGCTCGATCAAAGAACTCAATGCGCTCGAACGACGTTGGTGATGTTTTCGGCCGAGTAGTGGCGTTGGAGCAGCAGAATTCGCCAAGGAACTGCAGGCAGAATTCGATGTTGGCGGTACACTTAAAATAGGCACCGGAATACGTTTCTCTCTCAGCCAATCGACATCCACTGGATCAGTATTACAACGCGGTCGTGGTCGATACACTTCACTGACTTGCTCCTGCCGACGCAAATGCTTCTTGGGCCGTACAAAGCAGAGATTTTCTGTGGACTTGTAAAATGCTTTGCGACTACTTGTCGTACTGTCGGTGGTGCTGAGATTCGAATCACTCGAAGTGAATTTGTGTAGCATCAGCAGTGCTGTGGGATAGAAGAGATGAGGAGGGCAATAGATGAGTGAGGAAAATGCATAAACTAAGTGGATGAAAAAGTTAAATTTGTTAAATATTTATGTAAGTATTTTTTTGAATTTGCAGCTACATAGTATAATCGAGGCATAAAGTACATAGAAACAGTTTAGGCTGTAGTCGCTGGCTAATTGTTTAGCTCAGGTTAAGATTACTTTCAGAAGATACTTCTCAGCAAGTGGTCCTTCAGAGGAGATATTTATATATATATTTTTTTTTTTGTTCTAAGAAGCCGCAGGAAAAAAATTCTGGAAGTACTGGCCGTAAATAGGCGGATAGATAGTAACATGTCTCCAATATCCAGCGAATTCTCATGCTTCGCAGCGATATTCCATCGCATTTCTACCGATTCAACTTCTTCTTCTTCTTCGTTGTCTCTGTAACCGCCTAAGCGATTTTGGCCGATGACACTTTTCTGTTATTGTTATGACCTATTGAGTACGTAAGAACGGCGTCAAAATTTTAGGCGGCGACGAGTTTTGTCATTGGCGTGAGAATAGGGCGGTATGTTGAATTTGGGCAGCCACGAGACGCTAGAAAAAAGGACCGCAGATTTTTAACTCAACTCCGAAGCTCAGCCATCGGCAATGCTACTAGCGGTGATTTATCACAATTTAACCAGGTCGACGATGTTGGTTTCGAAACTGAGATGTCTTTCCTCAAAAATCAACCTGAGCCATTAATTAATATCCGGGGCGGAAGGCCGAAAATGGCTACATAGGTATGTATGTAATTCAACTCGTTTTCTAAAAAATAATGGGATAAAAGCATAAAATCCTCGCTGTTAGCTCTAGTGGGTAAAGAGTTTTTTTTTTACTTTAAGCTGATCTGAAGCTAAATAAAACGCGTGCTTCGCTTTGCGTGACAGATTCGCTTTGACAGATAAGATGAAATGTATGAAAATGCACAAAGCATGCGAAGCGAAAAGATGCGCGCGTTGACCATCAGCTAAATAAATATTTATTTTATGTCGTCCACATTCGAATTTTCATGCAGAAACATAGAATTCAATTACACTACTAATACTTTTAAAACTAAATACATACTATGTACATTTTGCGTCTTGCGCTTTGCTGGCAAAGTTATAAATGTCACGCAAAGCCACAAAGTTTTATCTGACATCAGCTTTATTGCTGCCCACCATCACCATCAGCAGTTGTGCACTCTACGATATCATTCTTCAGACGCTTTCACTACTCACATTTACTGCTCGCTGTCTTTCTTAAATTATGATCACTCTCGCACTCATCCAATGATTCCATTGTATCCAAACCAGGCGAGATGGAGCGGCTAATGCGCCGATGAGCCGGACGGAGGGGACGCAAATAATCCTCCGTATTGACGGAGAGATATTGCATATTTTTTTTATTTTGTGACATATTTTTGTGTTCTTCCTTTTCCCGGATATCTTTCAAAATTTTTTTTAAGGCACTTACACTGCTTCACTTTAAAATTCGTCAATTTTTTTAAAGTAATTTTTTGTATGCTATGTCCTGAAATCAGCACAATTTACAGGCTTGATACTTTTATGAAAGCAAGCCGTCGGGCGGACGGTTACGCTGTCACTGAAATTGACAATGAAAATTAGCAAACAATTTGCTGTTGAGGGCGACGTCTTATTGAGAATCTCGGTTTGCTATTTTCTTTTTTTGTCGAACAAATTGAAAAGCATAAAAAAATACCCGGCGTTTGTGTAGCGGAAGCACATCGCGACATCGAGGCCAAAAGGTTTTCATTGTTTTCTGTTGCATTTTTGCTTTCTCAAGTTGTCCCCTGTACCCACTCCCCCACTCCACCCTCTACACCGCCTAATTTTCCGCAAGTTGCTGCTATGTTTGCTTACAGTCTCGCTACTTTGCATTTGATTTTATTTCTGGCACATTTTTTTTTTTTTTTTAAGTTTTTTTGTGGTTTTGTAATAAGGAAAAGGTTTTTGTAAGCGTCGACACGGCGACACTCACAGCATTTTGAATGTTGAAAATGGATTTTGTTGCTGTTTTGTGTATTTAACACAATGCTTTTGTTTATCAATGTTCTTGGCTGCCATTCAAAATGATGATAAATAAACGATAGTGGAATTGTTTGTAGTTGATACCCTAGTATGGCCCCTTGGCGTAACAGATGTTATGAAGTGACCGACCGCATGTTGTGCGACGCTCCCACTTTCGCCTTCAATGGCAACGCACATATATACATATGTACATACATACATATATGTTGTAATTGTAAATTGTAGGAGAGAAAAAATGTTGTGATGATTGACTGTTAGAACTGTTAGATGTATGGGAGTGTTTGCGTGTTGAAGTGACCCTGTAGGGAAGTCCACCCGTTCTGAACTCGGAGCTTAGAAATTTCTTGTTAATTTCGAATTACTTGGAACTAGTTTACGGCTCTTCAACAACAAGATTATATATTTTTTAATATATATTATAACCAATTTCACGAAAGGAATTTAAGTGAAATATATAATCAGAATTTAATATGGAAACTGACATTTTTCACTTAACTGCTTTCCTGAAACCGGCAGTTAATAAACCAACTAGGGTTTGAATTATAAAAAAAAAATTATTTTCAAACCCTTTTTAATTTCTAATAATACTACATATCCTTTGTTAATTTAAAAATAATTTACGGTTATAGATTTTGTCTTTTTTGAGCTGAATAAATAAAGTCAAAAAGTTGTATCTAAAAAAATAATAAAAACGAATAACGAATTGAATAGCAGATTCTTGGTACCGTATATTTTCATTTTTTCATTTATTGGTGTTGGTTAATTTTTCTGACATGGTGATAAGATCATTTATTTTGGAACGAATTTCGGTCAATCCTTGTTAAGCATGAAAAATGACACTGAAAAAACCGGTTTGTCAGCAAACCAAAAATATACTTTTAAATTTTTCGCAAACTTTTTTAGAAAAAAATATTTTACAAGACATGTTAGCTCCATTAAAGCTAAAAGTTTTAATTTAACACAGTATTGTATATTTTTCGAGCTCAAGGCCACATGAAAATCGAAACAAAATATTTGATTTTACATTTGTTTTTATTTGCCGATATTTCGACTTCAGTCTGAAGTCATCCTCAGGAACATTTGACAATGTCGATCAAACATTGTCAAATGTTCCTGAGGATGACTTCAGACTGAAGTCGAAATATCGGCAAATAAAAACAAATGTAAAATCAAAAATTTTGTTTCGATTTTCATGTGGCCTTGAGCTCGAAAAATATACAATACTGTGTAAAACGAACGGCCAATAAATAAAAAGATAAAAAGTTTTAATTTAAGATTATTTTATATTTTAGGTCTAAAAACAATTTTCGATTTTTTTTAATATCAAACTTTGTTCTACTATTTTAAAAGAGAATTTTTTTTAATAAGCTCCTATATAGTTAAAGGTTTGTAAATTAATTAATTTTATTTTTTTGGTATGAAATACATTTTTTTAGGACAAAAAATAAATATATTTTTTAATTTCATACATTTTTCCTTTTTCTTAGGTGTAAAATTTTAAATTTTTATGTACACATATCTCACTGAAGATATTTTTAATTAAAAATTATTCTTTTTTATTGAGCTGTGACCATTTTTGAAGAAAAAATTTGTGGAAAAACAAGAATTTTTTATTTAAAAAAATTTGTTTCAAAAACTTTATGAAAGGAAAGTATTTTTGAATTTTAAGACATAGTTCTTTCAGTACAAAATAAAAATCAATTTACATATGTACATATATGTATTTTCTCAATTCATTTTAATTTTTAAAGGGTTAAATTACAAGTTTTTTGTGTATATACATAACTATATTCGTATGTATAAGACTTAATAAAGATATTTTTAGTTCAAAAATAAAGCTTTTTTAACTATTTAAATTTTGGAATGAAATTATTTATTAATTTTTATTTTAAAAATTATTAGTTTGGTGTAAATGGAATTATTTTGAATCTAAAATATATATGTATAAATTTTTTATGTATCTACTTTTTTGAAAAATATTGATAAATTTTTTTTGATATGAACAAGTTAATAACATCACTCACGTCCTCAAAAACGTATAGACAAGCAAACAAATACCCTAAAGATTCGCTTTTAAGAGTAGCATTTTAGGAGGGCTATTTCATCTTGACTTCAATGGGTTAATAGACAGTTTATACCAAACTTCTCCTCCAATTTCTGACATGTTATACAGTATTTGGCATTTTTTTCACCACACCATCTCAAATTTGCCCCGCTGGGTTGTTGACGCACACATACAAGCATACATATCTACATTTGTAAGTGGATACAAAAATACGTGTGGATTTTTATTTAATTAAAATGCCCGCAGACAAAGCAAAGTAAACACGGAAGCACAGCAAAAATAGCGCTTGTAAGGGATGGGCACTTTGTAATATAGTTTTTTTTTCAAGCATTTTAATACAAATAATATACTAAATAGTTCCATATTCAATTTTGAATTTTTTGTTTTGAATGTCTTAAAAGTTTTCACTAATGTACGCATGTATGCATGTATGTATGTATATTGTTAATATTTAAAAAAAAAATTTAGTCAAATTATTTTCATTACTGAACAGTCAACGAAGCGAACATTTTTTCACTTAAATCATATTTCCGACACTCCCACGCCATGACGAACATTCAACACGCGCTCTCATCCATTGACGACCTTTAAACTAATCGACCGATTCAGTGTACGCTGTCTTTTCACTGTCTATTACTATCGTTTAAATGTCCAACTAAACCAACTACATATACTATATATGTACATACATACCTACTATTTAGTGGATATGTATAGAATTTTGGCTGCCTTAGCACGCCCATTAAACCACCAGCTGCCCATCAGCGCGAACTTTCAATTTTCGCATTTGCCGCGGGGTAAAGAAACATACGCATGTCCTAATTGAATGTTTATTTTCTACGGTTTCATTTTCTTTCTTTTGTCTTCAAATACAGGGCGCATGCCCAGCAGGGAACTCTCTTGAGTTAGGGAAGAAGACTTCTTGTATAAAAAATGTTTAACGAAAAACGGTGGTGGCCGTTATGCGATTTATGTGTCTTTTGATCAACAAAGGTTTATCGTAGATTGCCAGAAGGCTGAGAAAATCAAATGTCTGGAAGTGTCCGTCGGCGGGTTCCGACTCTTTCTCTGACCTGCGTATCTCTACATAAAACATCGGACAATATTTGGCCTTTGATATTTTTCGTTTGGAAATTCTTCGCCTTGGGGTATCTACTCTCACAGACTACTCTAAATTTAAGTGTAATGTAGCGAACAGAAATATTTTCTCTTGATTATATTTTGTAAAATACTTGGGACGGATTTTAGAAGATTGTTTCAGTACAAATTAAAAAAAATATGTATATATTTTTACCGGCATACATATTGTGAAAGTCGGAAGAAACACCATCTAACTATGTAAAAGTAATATTTTCTTCTTACCGCAACTGCGAAAGACTGACTTGCTGCAGAAAGCTTTTCAAGAATTATTTAAATGAAAAGGAGGTATTTTTTATTTATTTCTTTTGTTTTCTATATCGCTTCTCGATCAACATAGCGAGTTATAGTTAAAAAAAAAAATGGCACGCCCTAACAAACCAATCAGAAATTTTGCATCCGTACAAAGGACAACGTTATTTTGCTTAAAGATTTTCCGGCAGGGTAGGCATGCATTTGTTAGTATTTACTTTGTAGCCAGACACTATAGGTGTTCTAATAAATTTTATGCGTTGACTGTTTGCCTTGTAGATACTGCATCTGCTAGCGCACAACAAATGACGAATAGAGTAAAATCAGTTGAAAGAGGAAACTAAAAAGTAAGCAAATTTTGAGAAACAAAGTAAAAAACAGTGGCTTTTAAAACACGTTTTTTATATTCTATCACACAATTTTAGATTTTTTTATATATTTTTTTTTTTTTAATGAATCGAAGTGAATATCTACCAATTTTCCTCAATTATTTTCAAATATTTTTACTCCGCTTAGTTCTTAAAAAAAATAACCATGATATGCGTTTGTTCGCCATGAGAAGATTTATTGTTGTTGTTGTTTTAACAGCATACAAATTCTCCAAAGAGTTCTTGGGGATTATTGCTGGAGTGACACTCCTTGACCAGATATAAATCTGGGTCGTTCCGGTTACGTAGACCCGACTGTCGTGGGAACGTGAGAAAATTAATAGTTTCCTTCGGCTTTTGTGAAGTTCTGAATCGAAAAAAAGAATTTTCCATCATATTTTTTAATTTTATCATTAAAAACACAAATTAATGTTTTTTTTTTATAATTTTATCATTTAAACGATTTTTTCTCTTCAAGCCTTCAAAGACTACAATTTGCCCTCTGACTGATGCACAGCAATATTTCCATTAGTATGCGTCACTTTAAGAGCGCCTAAAATGCTGCTACACTTCATTTGAGGAAAGGAACGCATACATTTGAAAGTATATAAACCAGACCCTATAGGAAATTTTAAAGTAAAACACGCGCACCTTTTTTGGAACATTTTAGTTATATTTTTGAACAATAAAATCTTTTTTTCATTCGCTGTTGCCGACTGTTCCCAAAACGGCATTCACAGATTGGGAGTTGGTGTAAGTCGAGACAGACTGCCCATGAATGCCGTTTATGGCCTGTGGGTACGCTGTCGGATCCAGATATTGTTTTATGAACCTCTGGACTTCTTCGGTAAGTTCGTATAGATGCTCTCTGACGTGCCTAGGCGAGGGCTCTACACCTACTTGCATAGCATAGTGTTGTGATCCTTGACAGGGGAGAATTAGGCCCTTTCATTTAAGAGGTGCTGTGGCGACAACAGAAGGCATCCCATTGCGTCCGAAGTTCCGTGTTTTGGCAGGTCTGTAGCTTCATCCACTGCGTCCTGAGCGTTCACGACGATCGCACCGGCCCTGCATAGCTAACAACCGGCCGGCCAATTGTCTTGTATGTTGCCAACAATCTTTCTTTGCCTTTGCCACAGTTGCTGCCGAGAGAAAATACGGAGAGATCCGTTTATTTTCGAGTACAAGTTATCAATTCCATTCCCGGAAGATGAGCAGTTGGCAGCGTAAGAGATAGCAGAGACTTCCCCGGGTGTTTGAGGGAGATATACATGCCTATTACGGTATCCGACGGATGCCATTCGCACGAATCTAATACTTCACTCTCGCTTGTTATGACAGTGAGAATCAGATTAGATCCGTGCGGATGGCATCCGTCGGATATCGTCATAGGCATGATAGTAATTAAACAGAAGCGGGGAAAGATAATTCGCTGACCACCGTTTGAGTCTCTGTAAGAGACAGGAAGCCCTAATGTCCTCTAGTAGCGTGGAGTGGCTGACGGTGTCAAACAGACAACGCTACTACTAATTTAAGAAATTCGAAATGAAATAACTTAAAATAATAGACATAAAATGATAAAAACAAATAAGTCATGATTTTAACTATTACCAAAAAACAATCAAAATGTAATAAAAATATGCACATCGAAAATATATTTTAATTTTTAGTATGTAATTACTAAAAGCTAAAAATCTTTTTGCCAAAGATTTTTTTATTACATATTTTTTATTTTTATCTTTTTTTTGCAAATAATCATTTCTTTTATTACATTTTAATAACTTAAAACTTGAATTATTTTTATTTTAATATAGGCTAAAATTGTCTATTAATAGCTAACTAGTTTGTTGTTCTGTTTAAAATGTTTCATAGTTTTTGTTTGATGACAGGAGTATTTACTATTTAGTACTTACATATATAGGTTTTTAAAAATAAAGGAAAATTACAAATTTAAACGACCGCTTTAATGGTTAGAAGACAAGAAGATTAAATTAATTTTTACGTAAACTAGTTTTTAGGTGAGTGAAACAGCGCACAGAAAGTAGAGTTTACAATGTTGTTATATTCTTGTAGCATTAAGACTAAATTATAAATGCGATTTTTAAGAGTAAAAAGTTTTAATAATTACATATATTTTTACTAAACGACTTTATTCAAACGTTTTACAACAAGGAAAAGTTTAATGTAAATGTATAAAAAAAAACAGACAGTAACAATTAAAACATAAATTTCTTTGACACTTAAGTTTAACTTTTTTGAAATTTTTCGGAGATTTTAATTTTTAATAGATGGATTACAGAAAACTTGTATATTTCAGTTTTACTTTTCATACATATAACTTTCACTTAAAAGTAATTGTCTTTGAAATCTCTTTTGGCAAACATAAATCATTTGCGATTTTCAACTGTATATGGTAGCAATAAGCCTGTTCCTTTACCCGTGAGATTTTAAGGATTTAGTCAGCAGTCGTTTTTAAGGGACATTTACAATAGCTTTAGTAATATCTTCCGGACTAAAACTGACTTTTTCTAACTAAATCCTGCAAGTCTGGCGGATAAAGGAACAGACAAAATATGGCAGACTCGGTCCGCACATTTGAACACTTTCTAATTTGATTTTAAATTGATATTGCCTCGCCAGTCATCTTTCTCGGGCTGCGTTGGGAGCCTTTGGTGCGCAATCCCACTTGCCGATGTTTGATTTTATATATGTATATATTTCGCTTGATCCTCAATTTGTACTAATCGAAATCATTACAAACAAATGTTTCTTCGTGAGTGTATAAAAATTCGCTTGAAAACAGGCCACTACGCCAACGATCGCATTGCGAACGGACGCACCATCTCCTTACGCATAATTGAAGCCCAAAAATATCTTACACCATTTGCGATGCTTCTCGCCCAGCATGCTCTCCGAGCGCTTGAGCGCCGCCAAAAACGTGTACGCGCCATAATCAAACTTCTTTAGCGCCGCATTGAATTCCTGCAATTGTGCATAGGTGCGCGGCGCTAGATACAGCCCCGGCAGTTCGCCATGCAGCAAACGCACAGTGTTCTCTACAATGAAGCGCAGCGAAGCGCGTCGATGATTTTCGAATGATTCGCGTTCCCCATACATATTCTTCTGATCATCGCACAAGCGTATGTCGTGCGCTGCCAAATTACAGCAATACAGGAAAGAGCTCAAGCGTTGCTCACCCACCGCTGCCTGATCAACACCGGGCAACATTATCTGCAACACATCAGCGGTGCTGAGTATCTCCAAATCATCGACCAGATAGTAGCTTATCAGATCTTTCAAGTTGTGCAAATGCTCCAGCTCATTCGATTCGTAGTAGCACATCGCGTAGGCGTGCTGTATCAGCGTCTGTCGATAGTGATAACTGCTGTAGTCGCTGATGTGTTTGCGCATAAACTTCTCGGTCATCATCAGCTCCGAGCATATGAGATCGCGATCGTTTTGCAATACCCACATGCGATGCGTCCAGGCGTGATAGTTGTTTGCGCTGCGGTCGGCGCAACGTTCGCAAATACCCAGCTCGCTGGGCCAATCGATGGCGTCATGACCTGTAAGGAGTAAAGAGTATTAATTAAAACAGCAAAAGGAAGTGAGGCGATAAAAGCTGCCTGAAAGCTGTTAACCCGAAGCGCATCGAATCCCATTAAATACTCACTCTGAAACGAGTACAGCCAGCGTCGGTAAGCGAATGCCTCGCTCGATTTCGGCTTTTTCGACAATATCAACGCAGAGAATTTAAATTCGCAATTTATTTTCAAATGATTCGTCTGTACCATCTGGCGGCGTATGTGCCAGAATGTGGTCACATCCGGGTTGACGAGCAGCGCTACATTCAGATATTTCAGCAAAACATCGCTGTGTTGCAGATAACGTTGCTGGTGTTGGCGCCGGTAGCCGATTATGGTTTTGTGTGAATGATGGTAGACATGTTTCATGCACCACGACTCCAAACCAAGATGGTGTTCAGTGTGGATCACGGGAGATTTGTTGCGATTCAAGAAGGTCGGTATAATTTCGAAGGTGGAGCTAAAAGAATAAAATAGAATTTTAATACACTGTTGTTGAATCTCAGGCAGATTAAAAGTGACAGTTAACGGTCATTAAAAACTTGATTGATGCATGTTTATGTGTGGGTGTATGTGTATGCACGCTTCCATGAATATATACACTTATGTACATGCTTACAGTCAGTGGCAAAAATATGTATACCCGACGTTTTGACGATTTTATTTATTTATATTTTCCAAGGCGTATTCATATAAGGTGGTATCGATTCAATAAATACAAAAAATACGTGTATTTTGTTTTCGCTTTTAGCCCAGCTGGATTAAAGAAAGTGTAATTGACAACCCAGTGCGGCTCTGTATTAAAATGTCAAAAAAATATAAACAAACGATTCAAAATTCATATTTTTTTTTCAATTTGACATTATATGATGGTTCTTATGAGAGCAATGTTAAACTCAATCACACTTTGTTAAAGACCTTTTTGCTTTTAGCGGGTCATTGCCAACAACAACACAAACACTCTTAGGTTTTCACTCATTCAATAGCGAAATGCCAAACTTTCACAATCATACGCTATTCACATCTGATGAAACAACACCACCTTATATGAATTCGCCTAACTAATTTCCATACCAAATTATTCTATTTTTTTAATTGAGATATACGGTGAGGGGAGTGTCAGTGAAAATCGTACGGTAATTTTTAATTTTTTTTTTATATTTTGTTTTGTTTAGATTTTGTTAATTTTTAATCAAAATATAGTTCAGCACAATACCACAACAAATTCCATAACTAACCTTGTAGCAATTAAAAAAAATCGTAAAATTTTCATCAAAATTTCTCTCATTTTATTTAGAATTTTTAGAATTTTAGGTATGCAGTTTTATAGCCCATTCAATTTTAGTATAAAGTGAAAGTTTGAAGTCGCTACAAAATACCTTTGTTTTTTTTTAATTTTTTTTTGTCGAATGTGTACCGCAATCTCGTTTTTATAAAAATTAAGAAAATCTAAACAAATAAAAGCGTCAAAACGACACGTTATGCATATTTTTGACGCTGGCTGTATATAATGGGTGGTCCAAAAACTTGTTTCTTCCTAAAGCTTGAATAGTTTACAGACAAGTCATCAAAGGGAATTAAAACATATTCCTCAAAGAAAATGCTTGGCTGTTTTTCTATTATCTTTGATTATGCTTTATTCTGGCAAACTGGTACTCTCGCTACATTGCAGTCTATCATTATTTTTCTCAATTTTTCTTAAGGTTTTTATAATTATTTGTTAATATATCTTTTCAATGAAACTATTCTTAGTGGAATTTAGCGAAAGTGTAAAAAATAATAGATACTAATTCCCTCAAAGAAATCATGGATATGAAAAATATAAGCTGTAGATACAGTGTGAAAAATACAAACAGGGGAGAGACATTTTAGCATTCTTTGGCTATTCCCCTTTCAATTATTTAGTTTTTATTACTTTTTTTATGAAAGCTCCTTATCTAACAAAGACCATGTAAGTCAAAATTTCAAACTTTGTACAAAAATTTGCGAAATTCGACAAAGTTTTATCAAAATTTGAAGCTTTTTAGTTAGATTTCTTAGAAATATTATGAATACCGTTGATTTTTGGTATTTTTTTTTTCTTGTGGAAGGTGTTGTTCATTTTCTCTATACAAAAAAATATTTGAACATACTTTGTACGTAAGAAAATGTGCGAACAAAAAATTTCCAAAGCTCAGCCGTAAGTCCAAGCTACTTCAAACTTGCACTTGATTATACTAAAATTTAATGGGCTACTAAAATGCATACTCTAAACAAATCTAGAAAATCTGATTAAAATGTTAAAAATTTTGATCAACTTAAAATTCGTCGAATTTTTATAATGCTACACAAAGTTTGAAATTTTGATTTACAGTTTTATTTAGATAGTGAGTTATATTTTCATTAAAAAAAATAATAAAAATATTTTTAACAAAGAAAAGTAGCCAAAACTTGCTAAATGTCTTTTCCTTATTTACATTCTCGCCACCGTATAACTTATGTGTATACAATTTTGCGATCATTTTTCAAGTTTTATCTCTTTGTTTTGTCTTAAATTAAAACTGTATTAAAAGATGTTACGTCTTTTTATTCTAAAAACAAAATTGTATGTTCGTATTCGATGCTTTAGAAATGACCCGATTTTTGACAACAGTAATCTGGTCACCGTAGGCATAATACATATTTAGGCGATTCCACGCAATTCTAAAAACTTAACAACCCAGAAATCGTAATATTTTTTTGAAAAAAATTACAATTTACGTAGGTACTAAGAGTTTTCGTGATAGTAGTTTTTACTTACTACTATATAGCAACTTTTTACTACTTTGAATAACCTTTTTAAAGCTTTTATTCTCTAAAAGAAGCTTGCATTTGGAACACCCTTTAAATGAGTATGTTTGTATGAATGAATGATGAATGCATGTACTTACATTTATTTATGAAGTGATATGTAGCTAATAGAGCAGCACTAGTTGCCTCAGTCAGTAATGATAAAAACAAACACACACAGTAAATTTATCACGTAAACACAATAACAAAAATAACAAAACAACAGTATGACAAAAACTTTGATAGACTTACATATGTACAATATTTATGCATTATTGCACAAACATGCACACGTACGAGTATTAGATGAAAATGAATTGTTATGGGCTCAAAACAGCAGCTGCTCCAGCTCAATTGAATGACAAGGTCAAATATTTGTCTCTATCGTCGTCGTCGTCGTCGACGGCGATGGAACCGTTGCTCATAGGAATAGAAACTTTCGTGATAACCGACACAAACCACAAGTCACAGAAGTGGATAAATAGATACATATATACATATGTATGTACTACTTTTGCTTTTGGGGGTATGTATGTATGTATGTATTACGTGGGTACCGCTTGAGTATTATGGATATGCTGACTGCCTGCCACCAGCACCCTGCGGGAAGCGGAAAGTGGCAACGTGGTCGCTGGTGCACAATCAAATAATTTAACTCATAAAGCTAATATCAATGAATAACAACAATAACGTAAATGTGGCATTTGAAAATAGTATGTAGTATGTAGGCAACCAACGGGAATGGGAAAATATCTATGCCTATTATTATTTATAGGCCAATTTGGCTTCTTTTTAACCGACTTCACAAAAAGTAGGGAGGTTATCAATTCGTCGATTTTTTTTTGTTTTGGATCCACGTTAACCGATTTCTATAATTATTTTTTTCCCCCATACTAATTTGGTTTAAATGCGATAAAAGGATCATAAAGAGATTAACGATAATCTTAAATTTTTATATGAGAATGGAAGTCGATTTTTTTTTTTTGTTTGCTTAAAAATTACTTGTTATAATATGTACTGGTTATTTAAGGGCCAAATTCACNAGAACGCAACTATTATTTCAAAATTCAATTTTTATACGAAAAGACAGCTTCGCAATTTTTGGCAGGTTTAGTAATCTGTTAGGCTAATTATATTCTCCTTATCAAGGTTATTTATTTTATGATTAAATCTCTAAAAACGTAACTTTTGAATTACATCTCTATATTATTAAACGTGGGATATATACACACATAAATACATAAATACATAAATACATATTTTAGCATGTACACGCATTTATCTACTGATCAAAACAATCAAAATTGAGTGGCTTCCATGATATTTTAGTAAATTGCTCGCAGCATATGTATGTATGCTCATAGGTACATATGTATGTATGCTCATACCCACTGGGAAAATAGGTAAGCACCTTACGAGGTAAGCCATGTNGAGAATTTGTAAGTATATTTTCAGGCGATACGAATTTCCATAGTTAACTATGTGACTCTGAANTATAGTTAAACTCTTGTGAAATAATTTTTTTTTTTTTTTTTGTGGAACGAATTTCAAATTTGAATAGAAAAGTATTGATTTTGAGAATTTGTAAGTATATTTTCAGGCGATACGAATTTCCATAGTTAACTATGTGACTCTGAATATAAATTCATAATTAAACTCTTGTTGGTGGTTAAGTTAACAATAGTTGCGATCCCGTACGAGTCCGGACTAGTCAGAAATAGTCAGAATCAGTCAGATTTTACTGGAAATCGATCCCGTACTCGGTTCTCTGACTACTGAGAGGACAAAAAAGAGAGTAATTACGGTTCTCTCTCTGTCAGAAGTTACCAGTTTTAGTCCGAGAATTTTTTGCTGGTAAATGTGTCAAACGATCAGCTGTAGTGTTTTTGTAAACAAAAGAAAAGTGCACTCTGCTAATTCATGTTGGAAAGTATTTAATTACTTGTTTAAGTGGGTTCTAATGAATTTGAAAGTGTTATTAGTTATTTACATGTGTGAGCTGAGTGTGTTTACATACAAAATAAGCAAAAATTTACAACCAAAATTTGGAGGTTATGTTGAAGTTGACAAAAGTTACCATTTTTTACTAGAAAGCGATCCCGTACTTTTCAATGTTACTCTCTCGCTCTGAGTGAATTTTTATTTTTTGACAGTTTTACGAGTCCGAGTCCGAGGAATACGGGATTGCACCTAATGGTTTAACTAAGCACTGTGAATTCGGCCCTAAGTAAATGAAGACTGGCTACAGAAATGATCCTGTGAGGTATAGTGACGGCCGCTGTGTAGTGGGTAGCAATGCGCACTTCCACTGCGCATGGCCTGGATTCAAGCCCTGGTCAAAGCAACATCGCAAAAACATAGAAACAATATTTTTTTCTTAACAGCAGTCGTCGCGCGGCAGGCAATGGCAAACCTCCGAATGTATTTCTGCCATGAAAAACAGCTTCTCATAAAAATACAGCCGCCGTTCGGAGTCGGCGTAAAACGCCCTATCTCAAACGAAAATACATTGAAAATGTGCCGTTTCTGAATCGGCAGCTGAGATAGGGCGTTTTTCAATCAAACTCTAAAATAGGGCGTTCTTGAACCAAATTCTGAAATGAGTAGGGCATTGTTGAAAAATTTTCTGAGATAGGGCATTTTCAAACTGGCTACCGAGAATGGTCGATCTTCCACTCAGCCATCGATATGTATGTACATATGTACATACATACATACATATCGCACGTTTAATAATATATAGAATTAGGTGCGTTCGACAAGTAAAAAATTTGTAATAGTTTTTCCAAATTTTTANGTACATATGTATGTATGCATGTAGGTGTGTATGTAAAAATACAACACAGCATACGGGATTCTCATGATAAAACTATGAAACCATAAAAAAATACATATGAGGAAAATAAAAGGCGCTAGCAGTGGTAAGGTCTATGCGTACCTTTTTTTGGGCACTTGATTTTCTTTTTGTAATCGACATCATAAATCAAATACAGAACTCCCAATTTTGTTTATCTAAAAGTGTTTTGTTTGCGCAACGACTTACTATGATGCCGTTATAGCTTGGACACATTGGACATTGAACAACTTTGTAAGTATGTAGAGTTATATTGCCTGCCACAAATCACATTCATGAGTATGTACATAGTATATAGTTATCTGTTCAGGTTTTAAAACTAACTGCAACCGACGCGAGCTTTATTGGCAAAGTTGGTTTCTTTGTCCCAAGGGCACACGTTTTTTAATAATAGAACACAAAATGTGTCACTTTTGATTGTATCAAATAGTTTTTGCGTTTCTGACATACGGGATAATAATAATTTTTTGGCGCTTACACTTTTGCTAAGTGTTTGGCCGATCTTCTCCTCCAATTTTTGGTGTGTGTCTTGACGTTGTTAGTCAAATGGGGGGACCTGTAATTTTACACCGCCTCCGAGCAGCAAATGTTTTTTATGAGAAGCTTTTTCATGGCACAAATACACTTGGTGATTTGCCATTGCCTCCCAAGGGGCAGGGATCGAACCCACGTTGTTGAATGTAACAGTATATAAATGACCCAAAGATTTTTTGGGTATGCTGCAGTGACAGACCTTGGCCAGAATCCGGGTTGTTCCGGTTACGTAGATCCGAATGTCGGGGGAGCCTAGGTCCTACGGCGTGGTAGTGCTCACCTCTAACCACACAGACACAGCGGCCGCCAAACGCGATACATATTGGTATGGAGTTAATCCGCATATTAAGAGCATGTGTCATTGTCATTTACAAGGACGCGGACAACAGACATTCATAGACCAACCACTGGGCCCGACGAGGTACCGACGAGCGGTTCCCACGACAGCCGGTTCTACGTACCGGAATGACTTGGGTTTTACCCGACCAAGGGCTGTTGTTTCGGCGAACTAACCGCGTTTAGGTCGGACGTTGTTCGTCCGTAGGGCTACGTATTCTTCTGCTCAGGGCTGGCAGCGAGTCAAACCCTACCAGAGACGACTACACCACAACTCCACCTCATTCGATTGCAATGCTCAAACAGAGCTGCCTCAACGGCAAACACACCGCCGCCAACAACTCTTGGTTCATCCGACAATCTGCACGATGTGTCAGCGATGGTTAGCGAAGTATCTGAGTGGTGAACACTCGTCAGTAATGTTTACAGACAAATCAAGCAAACCTAGACATGGTGGTGTCGTTTCCCCATTACTGTTTAACTTTTATATTTCCAAGCTCCCTACACCACCAGAGAACCTCGATTGTGTCTTACGCTGACGATTGTTAGATAATGGCATCTGGCAATGGAATTGATGACTTGTGCTCGAAATTAAACGGGTATCTCTCCGAGCTTTCTCGCTTCTTTACTGCTAGTAGCCTAACCCTCTGCCCTACAAAGTCCTCTGCGACCTTATTTACCACCTGAACGAAGGACGTCAGACTACCGCTGGGTATTCACATTGATGACACACCAATTCCGACGATGAATAACCCAAAAATACTCGGAGTAACATTCGACAGTCTACTCTCCTTCTATGTGCACACAACCGCAATTGTCAACAAGGTACAGAGCCGCAACAAGGCCCTCAAGTCGCTAGCCGGCAGTACTTGGGCAAAGACAAAGAAACGTTGCTGGCAACATACAAGGCAATTATCCGGCCGGTTCTAAATTACGCAGCACCAGTGTTGTAGCCGGGGATCAGTAGGACGCAGCGGTTGAAGCTTCAGACAGTACAAAACAATCCACTGCGGACTGCTACCGGATACCTTCTGATGTCGCCAGAACACCACCTACACGACGAGGCGAAAATGCTCCCCATAAAGGAGCACAACACAATTCTCTGCAAGCAATACCTATTAGGAAGCCACGACAGTCGAACAGACAACTGCTTGCAGCGGAACCCTCGCCAAGGCATATCAGATGGCATCTTTACGAACGGACGGACGATGTCCAGAGTTTCATAAAGCAACCTTTGAATGCCGTGATCGGAGCACAATCACCACATGTAGCAGATAGAGCTTCAACTGCCAGGGGAAACCCGCGTTACCGTGGCTCAGTTACGGTCTGGATACTGAAGCCGCCTCAATCCCACTCAACTAACACCCCTGTAAGGTGGAAAAGGTGAATGTGCAAAGATAACTTGGACATAAGATCTACATACATACATATGAATGTATGTACATACCTATCTTAGCTTTGCTGGATAGGGCCATAATCCAAAAAATCAAAGAACCAGAAATTTCGTTGAAGAACGGGCTGTCTCAGCTGCAAATATACATATTGAGATACGGCATTTTCGGAGCGGGATAGGGAGTTTACTAAACGACAGCCAAGATAGGGCGACCTTCCACTGAAATAGAGGAGCACTCTTGCGAAAAAGTACTACTTTGGACTGAGTAGGCAATTGAGAAGTAAAGTCCTCTCTCGTCGTACAAAGATCACACTCTATAAGTCAGTCATCATGCCTGTGCTAATGTATGGCGCGGAGGCATGGACAATGAAAACATTTGATGAGGCGGCTCTTGGAGTTTTCGAGAGAAAGATTCTGCAAAAGATTTACGGACCTTTATGCGTTGACTATGGCGAATACCGCAGGCGATATAACGATGAGCTGTATGAGCTTTACAACCATATAGACATAGTGCGACTCCGCTGGCTTGGCCCCGTCGTTCGAATGGACAGAAACGCTCCTGCTCTGAAAGTATTCGACGTGGGCCACGATGGTGGTGACAGAGGAACAGGAAGGCCTCTTCTGCGTTGGAAAGACCAGGTGGAGAAGGTCTTGACTTCACTTGGCATTTCCAATTGGCGTCAGTTGCACAGATGAGAAATTACGTGCTGTTTTGGTGTCTGCCAAAATCGCTTCGACGGTTACAGCGCCGATAAAGAATAACAAGAGAAGAGTGGCGTTCATTTCTGCATACTTAACTAAAGATTTTATTTATTATTATTATTTTTTTATTGACATTGCATCATAGCTCCGATATGTACATACATACATACATACATATGTACATACCCTGCAAAACATTTTTCAGAGTATTCTGAATTATAGAGCAATTTTAAAGATCTCATCCGATTTTTTGCTGAAATTTCGGAAGAAACTCAGTAAAGCAATGAAAATAATGCTGCTATGTGAAGAATTTCTTGTATAATTTTTTCAAAATTTTCTTATTTTTTCGTACAGAAATTTCTTTAAGAGTTCGTGTCAACCACTTCATATAATTTTCTTTGAAGATTCGTAAAAAAAAGTGAGATAGTACTCCCAAAAATTGCGTTAAGATTTCGGGAACTTTGGTTTGCAGGGTATATATAAAATTTTTGTTGTCTCCAATCTCCAGTCTAATTAGCATATCTAAAAAATGTACTTACAGGTCTGGGTCCTTGAGGAATACCGCATGTATGTCGTTAATGATTTTCTCGCAGAGCACCTCTTTCTCATTGTCTGTATCCATATCCATGTTGAACTATGTGCGCGGTTGAATTTTTGGGTGCTACTGTTGTTTAACAATTTTTATTTATGTATTTATTCTTAATTGGCCTTTAAACGAAATTTTTATTTTTTTATATACCTAAAATTTTTTGCGTTTTCTGATTTATTCCTCCTGCTCGCGTTTAGTTTTTACACTCAAGTATGTAGTAGAAGTATTCGCTTTCCTTTGTAGTTTTCTCGTTTATTTATAGGTAAACTTTTTAAAATATGTTAAAAGCATATAAACTTTTTAGAGCACGGCCCCCGTTGTGTTAAAGCAGGTAAATAATAAAAGAATAATAGCTGAGCACAACGCAAACCACTGATCGACTAATCCGACCGAAAACAACAGCACAGTATGTTTTCAAAAGTGTAATAAATTTCAATTTAAATAAAAAACAAACCAAGAACAACTATAGAACGTACAAGTGTTCTTGTTCATATTTTTCTTATTGTTGTATGCTCATCCAACTGTCCGTGCGTGTTTGACCACAATTGTAGACATGGGTGTGTGAGTGCGTTCGCCCCAATGCCAGCGCTACTTCTCCAAAGCAGAAACGACTTCGACCGCGACAGTTTATATGAGATACGCGAATGCGAGATGCCTTGAGGAGCTCCACTAAAACAACAGTATAAACAAATATGTATGTATGTATGATCGGGCACGCGCCGCGACAAACGTACGTACTAGAACTCGCAGAGTTGGGGGACAGCACAATACAGTTCCAGTGCACCACAATCACAAAATTGTCGAAGAAAACAAGCTTCAATTGGCGATATAAATTGTTTATGCACTTTTTTCACTTTTTAACCTATCCGCTAGCAGTTGCGTCCAATTGGAACCACCAACCCAAACAAGATCCAAAGCAAACACCAACTAGAAATTGCTCAATGCGATGTGGAGCTACGCCCTGTCAAAACTCGCGCTCAATTGTCAAAATACACATGCTTGTATTTTGGGGCTACACTCGGCGTTGCCAATCGCTGGTGACAACTGTCAGTTTAGAAATGCTGTTGTCAACAAGACCAACAGTGTTACCAAGATTTCTTTTAGTATTTTACCAAAATCACCAGAAAGTTACCAAACTTAACTTATTTTATGTGCAGAACTGTACATAGATATGTTTGTACCAAGAATGCACCGTGTTTTTGTACATATATCCGAACACACCAAGCTTTTCATGCATCCAGCACCCCATTCAGTTATAATTTTTATATCTGCGTGATCGCTAAGTCACAACAACAGAGGATTTCAAACCTAAGTGTGACCGAAGACGAAGCTGACGAACTGACAAGGAAAGGTAAGACCAGTAAAAGTGCGGTTAAACGAGGCAATGCAAGCGCTTTTTCTACGCTTTTCGCTGTCAAAATGCGAAATCGAAATACTACTTTGCCGTGTAAACAGAAAGTCCATTTTCAGATTTGCAGAAATCACTTTCGGAAATAAATATTGCAAGGTTACGCAAATCGATTTTCAGATATAAGTTGTGTACTCTTACAAATTATCCAGTAACTTGCCAGTAATTGTCCAGTAACTTAATTTCTAAGAGTTCGTTCTCATAGCACAAAAGTACAGAACGTAAAACCAGTAATAATTTGCAAGTTTTACGAACAGCTGATTAATTTGTTGTTTATTCGCAGCTAGTTCCTATTAAAACAATATATATTATATTTAAATAGGTTTATTTTGTCAATTTTAACTATGAAAACCTCATAAGCATTTCTTTTATTAGTTTTAATTCCACCCAGCAACATGCGATCAGCTGTTATTCTCACTTGCAAGTTCTTACTAGCAAAAATTTATCCAGTTAAAACTAGCAACTTCTCAGAAAGGAATGTCAATTTGCGCTCTCAATTTCCCTTTTCTTACAAGTTTTTTGGGTACAAGAACACCAAAACGTGATAGTTAGTACAAACTATCGCGTGCAAGAACGCTACTATAATTTCAACCTGCTCGTGCGGCACTAGCAGTTTTCATTTTTGCTGCAAGTGCTGTCAAACCAATCGAGTGTTGTCGTATGACGTGATTTCTGCCGAATTTCTATAAGACTATAAAAATGTTTCATCACATTAAAAAAAAAAATACTTGTAATTATTGAATTCTCCTGATATCAACAATACAAAAATTAAAGCATTAGACACTGTGGATATTTTGTGCGCATTTGAACATTAAAAAAAAAGATTCATGTCAGTAATTTTGTTATAAGCATAAAAATTTCTGACAACATCGTTGAAAGTGGGTTTTTGTCAGCATTCACCGTGTAAACAGACAAAAAGTAGTATCGGAAAGTTTGATTTTCAGAAATAAAAACTGCTTTCGAAAGGTGTAATCCCTTTTGAAAATTTTTGGGTTTTGGACAAACTTTTGAAAAGGACTTGCACTTGCAACAGCCACTTAAAATGTAGGACCGAATCGAAAAAGTTAACAAATTACCAGATTTGATAACTAACGAAAAAGAAATAGAAATTTTAGTAAAAAATACCAAATCGGCAACGCTGTTCGTAAAACAGCTGATTACTGTCACTTACGACGGTCGATTATGAAACAAAAACAAACGATCGCTGTTGAAAGAGAAATAAATAAGAAAATTTGCTGTTATGAATAAAATTGCCAGTACACGCGTATAACAATTGAGCGTATAATTTGTGATAAAATTTAAACATTTACAAGGGATGTCAACCAAAGTTGTAGCTACGGCGACGGTGCGTGCGCTGAAAGGACGCAAACTGATGCCCACACGAGCAGCTCTAACCTTGGTAAGCTGCGAAAACTGATGAAATTATCCTATAATAATAGGTATAGTAAATAATAATGCTTAATAAAAAAAAAAAACTATTTTTAGACAACAGCCGCAGTGAATCGCATTAAAGAATTGTTAAAAAATAAGCCAGAATTTGTGAGTATTGGTTAGTAACCGATTAGTCAATAAAATACAACTTCCTGCAATTACAGACAGGTTTGAAAGTGGGGGTGCGGCAGCGCGGCTGTAATGGACTCTCCTATACGTTGGATTATGCCAAAGAGAAAGGTAAAAGTAAAAAATACATATAAATTGAACCTTAAAAATAAATATGTTTGCTTCAGCAGATAAATTCGACGAAGAAGTTGTACAGGACGGTGTCAAGGTGTTTATAGATAAGAAGGCGCAATTGTCTTTGCTTGGTAAGAATTTGTTCGAACCACCCACCGCAATTTGCAATTATATAATAGCCTGCTGACGCTGATGTTTACATGTTTCTTATCTTTTACGATGTACTTTTTACATATTGGGTTCAACAAACTCTTCTTTTTTTCAGGTACGGAAATGGATTTTGTCGAGTCAAAACTATCGAGTGAATTTGTTTTCAATAATCCCAACATAAAAGGTACCTGCGGATGTGGCGAATCGTTTAGCTTCTAAATAGATGAGAATGGAAAAAGGGTGTAAATACGAAATAAGCGACCAATTTAGAATTTGTTACAAAGCTTCTCAGCATACTCTTAAACATAAGTATGCTATAAACTATTTTAAAATTTCATTTAAGCGATAGTTCTGAATTATGTGTTTTGTTTTAAATGGATATATTTAAAACTTTCAACTAAACATAATACATTTCATTGAATATAAAGAGTAATCTTGAACGCTTCAGCAGAACCTTAATGTATCTATGTACGAAATCAAAAATCAGGGTTGTATGAATTTGCTTGCATTTTTTTATTATTTTCCATTGCATGCTGAATAACCACTCTCATCATACTCCTCTCTGGTAAGCAACATATCTTTGAAGCCATCACTGCAAGCCAGCTCCTTTCCACCATACCAACCATATGAGATGGGATCTTCGGGGAAAATCAAAGACACTTCAAGATCATCTGGCGCCAGTGCCCGAATTTCCGCTTTCAAGCGCGGTATAAAGCCTGGAAAAAGTGAGCTTCCTCCAATGATGAGGATATTACGAAGCAATTCGCTGTGCGCGTACACCGGACAATCCTTGAGACAATCGATTACAGTTTCTGGTATGCCTATTTGGTGAATGCCCACATCGCTGGGATTGAACAGCAGTTCAGGTACCGTGAAGCGTTCGTTGCAAAGACGTACCGTTTGCTGATCGCCTTCTTCATCCTCCTCATTTTCATTTTCATTCTCCACATTTTCTTTGTTGCGAATGAAACCACGTTTAACTGTTGTAAAATCTGGCAACACATACTCGACTACCACTTCTGCGCGTTTCTCGGCAGAACTATGCACCCGCATGTCATCTTTGAAGTCTTGCGACACAAAGCACACGTCTTCTTTTATTTGATTCACAACATAAGACTCGTCCATCATATTTAAGTGTCGGTACGAAATAAGCTCCTTTAAATGATTTGTCAGTACTTTTCCGCCCACCTCAATTCGGCGTATACCCCTCTCCACACGCCTGCCTCGCACGAATGGTACCACGTGTGTGAAGCTGTAGCCAACATCTATGACAACGCAGTTTAAAGCCTGCAGTGGGCTTTCCTCACTTTCTGCGGAGTAATTATATGCCGCCAATTCTGCTGTAGTGCACTTATGCACGCCGAAACAATGATACTCCTCGAAAAGTATTTCCATCATCGCCTCTTGAATGCTAGCGAAATTTAATTGCGGTTCGGTTATAACAATGGGCCGATCTTCCAGCGTAATGCCGGTACCTTCGTTACTGAAGATATGATCCCAGACAGTCTTTTGTATATCCCAATTGAGTAGGTATCCCTTTTGAAAGCAGAGTATAAAAAACAGCCCGGATGCGTCGCGACATTCGTCTATTTGGCTGCCAATGAATGCACGTCGTCGTTCTGCCTTTGCCTTCATAATACAATTGGGCACAACAGTCGGATCCTCTTGACTTGACAACCCAACCTTCGCGCTGTATGCACCATTGTCCAGTACAACAGCATCCATCTTCTCGGAGCTCTTTTTTCTCAAGTCGAAAATGATATATTGCCAAAATGAGAATGGAGATGCGAAATGTATAGAAAAAAATGCCAAAAAGACGCGTAAACAAATGTAATTTGACAATTAGTGCTGTTCGCTAAAAAAAAAAACGTGTACAAGTTGGTACCAATGTTACCAAATTTAGCAAGATACGAACGAAACACACCGATTTAATTCCAATGGATTTCCTGCAAACCCATTAAAAAATTATGCTTAAAGATAGTGTTTGCAAGAAAAAAACATTTTATATGGTAATTTTTAACACTATATAATTAAGAAGAGACCAAAAATCTAAAATATTTGCTTGTTTGGTTAAATAAAAAAATTCACTAAAATTTTCTTGCTGTTTTTCGTACTGGCAAATTCTTACAAGTAAAAATTTATCCAGTAAAAACTTACAACTTCATTCAACTGTCATTTTTCGCTCTCTCAATTTCCCCTACTTTGCAAGTTTTTGCATACGTTTTTGCATCATGAAAATTCGTAAAAACTTTACTGGATTTTACTGGAAATGAGTAAACAAACACAACTAATGTTTGCAAGCAGGTAACTAGCCATATAAGTTAAATAATCAACATTTTATGCGAATGTTTACCAAGAAGCAAGCGTTCATGAAAACTTGCAGATAAACTGATAAATTTAAGCAATGTATTCCTTTATCACTTTAGATGAAGACCCCTATTATTCAATTGCTCCATAAAAATTGGCTGTCTTTTCTCTTGTGGGGGTTTCATTCGTGCATCATAAAATTTCTGTCACAATAGTAAGAAACCTCACAATAGTGAGTAAGGTGATTTTTGTGAGCGCAACAGAATAGGGCTGCTAGTTTATTCTCTGAATTTTGTTACTGGTTAATTCTACTGGCTTTTCCAAACGAACACAACTGATTAACTTATCAGCAAATAACATCCCTGGATTGCTTTCGGTGTCAAAATTTCGTAAATGTCAATAGTAAACAACAACAAAACTTTTTTGGCGTTTCTATTAACGCTTGTCAAATTTTCGCAGAGGAAAATTAGAAATTTTATGTAATAATCAAGGTATTATTTATTCGCTTAGATAAATATGTCCTTATCGCGTCAAATTTTGGCAAAAACAGCGCAAAGTGTACAATGGTAAGTATGCAATTCATCATTTGATATTTCATTGCAATTAACTTCATGTTATTCATCAGGTCGAAGGCCGTAGCTTTGTGCAGTCGCAGAATGGCTTCTGTTGGCTCGCGAGATGCACCCCCAATTGATGTAAACGCAGCTATTGCACGACCGGAAGAGGTGGAGCGAAAGAAAAAACTCAGCGGAGCCATCACCGTACCCACAAAGGTTGACCTTAGCCCCATTAGTGGTGTGCCAGAAGAGCATATTAAAACAAGACGTGTGCGCATACATGTGCCACCCAAAAATGCCATGCAAAGTGGCACTGATAACGTTCAACATTGGCAAATTGAGTTTGACAATCGTGAACGCTGGGAAAATCCACTGATGGGATGGACTTCAACGTAAGCTCAGTATTTACGCTATTTAAGATAATTAAGGCAAATATTAATATTTTACAGTGGAGATCCACTATCCAATATGCAAGTGGAATTTGGTTCCAAAGCAGAGGCAATTGAGCATTGTGAACGCAACGGCTGGCGTTGGTTCGTGGATGCTGACGAAAAACCAAAAAAAGAACGTGTCAAGAACTATGGCTTGAACTTCCATTGGAACAGGCGCACACGCGTATCCACTAAGTGATATTACGTAAAATTCTGAAGAGTAATGCTAGACTTAGACTAGTGCAGATGCTAATGAACGTTGAGAAAAATAAAGCAACTTTTATGGATTCGATTGGTATCTAAAATGTATTATTAAATTGATCCAAATACCTGGCTTACAGCCCGACTTTGGGACTCTCGGGATAATCTCCTTCTCTTCTATGATGGCCTCGCCTATAACTTCTACTCCGCCGTTTGTGACTTTTCTTTTTGATGCTTCTATTACGGATCGTTCCCTTGAGACTTTTCCTTTTGCTATGGCTTCTACTGCGATGTTTATGTTTCTTTCTTTTCGTACTACTGCTACGATCGCGGGCATGCTTTTCATTCTTGTGACTTCTGGTAGGACTGCGACTTCTATGTCTACTTTTCTTTGAACTTTTGGGGTCAGCGCTCCTACTTCTACTTTTGTGGTAATTATAATGCTTCTCGGGCTCACGAATTGCTCGTTTACTCAATCTTTCGTACTTTTCTATAGATCTTCGCTTATGTCCTTTATACATTTCCGGTTTAATTCTACGCTCCTCTCCAGATTTTGTTTTAAGATACTGTTGCAATGCTTGCATTTGTAGATCTAAAACAGCGCGCACCTCTTCAATATGCGTTGGCTTACTCTTTCGATACCGCCGGCGTTTTTTCGTTTCACGTTTCTTTTGCGCTACAATTTCAGCAAACGTTAGTGAACCTTCATTCAATGCCCTGAAAGGAATAAACATGTTTTCGCATTTACTCAGACATCATCAAATGTTTTAAGCAAGCATATTTAAACTATTTTCATACTTACGGAACATTTAATGCTAGCTCGGAGCATTTCTCTGTGTTAGCCACAACATGCTCGTAAATGGCGAGCTTCTGCTGCCGTTTAAAATTCAGCTGCAAATCTGAGAATCTTCTCGGAACTTCTATGCTTTCGTCATTTACGATTTTACGTAATTCTGCAACATCTAAGGAGCTCTATGTAAAAACTGTATATGTACTACTTGTGATTAACAATAAAATACCGGTTTTTATGAAATTGCCATTAGCATAGCTTGGAGGAAACTCTGGTTCCGAGTCAAAGTCCACATGAATGTCGTTTTGTGTGGCATCCTCCGAATCCGTGCCCTGTACAATAATCTGTAAGAAAACTTAACCGCTGAAATAAATCTATTTATCACTTGCATCCTCACATTTTCTACATACACTCCATTCAAGGCGTTCCAAAATTTTCCTCAGCCGTGCTTTGCTCTCAACTATGAATGCATTCAAACAGGTATCCTTGCTATTATCGGCCATTGTTACAATTTAAATGAAAATCCCATATCCTACGCGCTTTTCGCAATTTTGGCGGTAAATAAACTAAAACCAAGACGCTTCTCGGGCTCACGAATCGCTCGTTTACTCCCCGGAGAAAACCTTTATTGTTTTGTCTCTTTTTCTTTAATCTACGGCATTTTTGTTTTTGTTATGTGAGCAGCTGACGTTGGCAAGACTAGTGGTCGTAAAACTGTTGTATGACGGCATTAATTTTGTCCCTAACCGATTCCGGTAGCGCATTTTTATCTTTTTATTTATCTTTCACTTCTTGGACAAGATTTAAACAACTGGCAACATCTCCAATCAGATTTACTCTTATTTGACATTGTTTTCATTTTCGTAACGAAAAAAAGCAGAATGTAAGATAACTTATTGGAAAATATTGTTTATTTACGTATACAATAACTGTGATTTATTTAACAATACGTAAACAAAGTTCAAGAGTGGAGGAAATTCAATGCTTCTTTAATTTTTCCCACAGTGTAAATACGACGCTAGAGTGCAATTGTGTATTGGGGGTCATTGTGGACGACGGACGGCGCATCATATATAAAGGAATACCAAAGTTAGCATGAAGTGAATGCCACAATGAATAGCAGAAACAAGAGAGCAAGGTTGGAGTTTTCGGTAGCACCGACAAATATCGATGCAGGCATCGGTAACGGATGTGCAATGAACACCAACCAATTAGCTTCCAACATCATTGGCACGCAAAAGTAAGCGTCACTATATACAATTTACGTAATTCATTTCATTTATAATTGCAGCATCTTCTTAAGTAATACCACCAACTCGGCCACGAACAATACAGTGAGCATGCTACCCGCAAATGTTTTTCTTACCATCTGTGATGAGAACTCTGACGAGTCGGAGGACTATTTGGCCATCGGTAGTACACTGACACAAATTAAGCAAGAGCACGAAGATGCATTGTGCCTTGGGAATGTAAACAGCAGTAGCAGTACGCAGGCCACGCAGACATTGCCCGTGCAATATCGCATTGTCAACCAGATGCAACGTCAACTGCACAGTGTAGATAATACGCTCGCCAGTGATAGCGTAGTTAGTACTAATGAAAGCAATGGTTTAAGCGCTACGCTGCCAATGCATCTACCTAACAGCTGCGAAATTTATATAGTCAAGGAATACGTAGATAATATGCCCACCATACTACCCGAAGACAGTGAGCTGTTGCAAGGTCCGCCTAGCCCAATGACCAACACTACCACCGCACCAGATGCAATCAAGTTAGAGCCGGACTCTTCTTTAACGTCAACAGCGGGCGCTGTTGCAACTACTTCCGCATCAACATCAATTAATGGCGTGCAGATACTACGCAACACTCCGCTGCCTTGCATGATCACAAATAAGCTATCGAGTTCAACAGCTAATGAGCGAATAAATTCCATTTCGAATAAAAATAACGCAGCAGTAACAGCCATAAACAGTGGTGATATACAGGGCAATAGTACAAAACGCAGTTGCATATTGGAGGCTTACAAAAAGGTAAGTGTGTGTTAAAATATTTTTTTATATATTTCTATATACTTGTGCTTTTTACCTTCGGATTGATAAAGCGCGATGACAAGCGTCGCGCAACTCATAATGAGGTTGAACGACGACGACGCGATAAAATAAACAATTGGATATTTAAACTCAAAGAAATGCTGCCCTCGGAAGGTGCTAGTAACAACAACAACAGCAACAATCAACTAAATAGCTTGGTGGAGCAAATGTCCCAAAAAAGCAACACCACCAACAGTAGTGGGAATAGTAATGCCAGCAATAACAGCAACAACGGCAACAGCAATCGCACGCCACCCAGCGATTCCAAGTCTCAAATACTAATTAAGGCTTGCGAGTATATCAAAACAATGCAGGACGAGATCAAGAGGTAGGAATAATTGTATCGAAAATCACTTGCAATAATTATTTGTCCCTTTTCGTAGCCTACGCGAGTGCCTTAGCGAAAATGAAAATTTGCGATTGAGTAATCAGCGTTTACAAAATGAATTAAATAAAATGCAAAGCGAGCGAGCGGCGGCAGCTGCAAGTGCTACTTTGCACACGCGCAGCTTCAATAGCAATTTCAATATAACTTTGAACAGCTTGAACAGCAATAACAGTAATGGCAGTGCGGGTTTGGGAGGCGGTGGTACCAGCGGCGGCGTTGACAGCGCCAGCAATAGCCCTGGTGGTGGGGGAAGCATATTCAGTAGCCTCAATATTACGCCGAATGTAAGCAGCACGAATACGTATACGAAACGGGAATTAATTATACGAGATTATGTTGACTAGAATGAAGTAGGAATTAGATTAAAAATATGCCATTTTTAATTCGGTTATCAACCAAGAATAGGTGCTGAAAAGGTGAAAGTCATCTATATAAGTATGTAGTTTTTTTTTTGTTAGTTTACTGTTGCATCACTCACTTACTTATAACCTAATGAGTGCAAGAAATTTACTAGTTTACTCTTCTTGTTACGATTGTATAATGATTAACGTAAACCTCGAAGAAAATTTTAGCAAGGACACTATATGCTACATTAACTAATGCATACATACATACTATCAACCTGTAGTTTAGTAAAGAAAAAAAAAGTTAAACAAATTAAATTACAATGTGCTTCTCAAAATTATATGCGCTTCCTTAAATTAGTGCAAACTCTGCGCAAACTCGCGCGCTCACTTTAACTCTTGACTTTTAATACACCTTCTCTTACTCACACTTACTTGTATGTAGACAAAAATTAAAAAAAAAGCAAAACTTAAGCCTCTTTAAATCTCAAATAAAAGCTATTTCAAAAAAAAAAAAATATGCATAAATGTACATGTGTATGTAAGCATTGAATATGCACAGCTGCAGTTTAACTTTTTTGTTTAATTAAGTTATTCATATTTAATACTTTCATTAATGTACTTAAAACCTTCTGTGCAATTTTTATTAATTTTAACTGTTTATTTTAAAGCCTTCCATTTCTTGTTTGTATTTTAAACTGTGGACATGTTTTATTTTATTTTATTTTGTATATTCAATAAAAAAAAGAAACTTTTGTACACAATTTTAGTGTCTCTAATAAATAAAAAAAAAGAAGATCAACACGCGCATTAGCAGCCCAATAAAAGCTAAATGCAAACATCTTTAAATTTGAGCCGCGAAAGAGTTGTTCAAATTCCTGTTAACTCTTTATTTGGCTGCCACTGCAAAGAAAATAATAAAGATAATTGCAATAAATTTAGATATACATATAGAAATATGTATGTATGTGTACATAAAGTGATACAGTTTATAAACAGAATTATTAACAATTAAAAAATATTTGCTGTGACTTGTTACACTCATTTTTGGTAAACGGCGATTGCATACATATATTTATAAAGAATAATAATACCAGTTGTTTTTGTAAGCGTTGTAACGTAGTGCAAGCAATTTTTTGCCTTTTACATTAGCAAAACAAAAATGGAACAAATTTTTTAAAATCGTTGATGATTGGAAAACATCCTTACACTATATAAATAGTAGCAAATATTAACGAAAGGTGGTTTAATACAACCTTTTAAAAGTTATTTATTACAAAAAAAAAAAACAATGTTAAATGTAGCAACCCTTTTTTTATTTATTAATAGTTGCAGTTTTTGAACCAAAATAATGCTACGCAGTGAGAGTGATTATTATAGATGATTTATGCTAAAAAAATCTAAAAATATATACAATTAAAAATAACTATTAAAACATTATACCAGTTAAATAAACTATTGAATGCCCAAAGCGGTAATAAATATCAAATTCAAAATAATAAACCCTAAATTAAATAAAAATGTTTCTAAAAATGCAAATAGCACATATGTACTTATGTATTAACCATTTTCGAAATGCATACATATGTATGTAACTATATACATACATACATATATACAAAAGTTATTAACCGGAGAAATTTAAAATTTTTTTAAATATTAAAAATAATAAAAGTTGAAAAGTAGCATTTCCTAAACATAGTTAATAACCAAATGATCGCTACATCAAATATTTAAACATTTGAAATTGATGCATAAGTAATAAAGTTTACCTCGGAAAAAAATCTAAACAATTATCATTTTTTACAATGAAAACTTTAGCCCCGAGTTCGCTTTGTTGAGAGAAAACTTACAGCAAATTAGCGATAAAGCTTAAAGAGTTATAAAGAAATTTACAGCATAAATGGACTTAAACTCTAATTCACTTTCGTGACTTTGGTGTGCCTTAATCTACGAAATTATACATACATTCTTATATAGCCGTACTTTTTTTAGTATAGAAGTACAAAAATTTCATAAAAGCCTTGAGTTCAACCTGAAATGCATCGCTTTCCATTAAAGGCAAAAGGTAAGCATGACACACTCTTTTGAGAATTACACGTTGCTCTTGTTGTTGTAACAGCATACAGATTTCCCAAAGTGTTTTTGAGGGATGACGGTCGAGTGACAGTCCTTGACCAAGTATAAGCCTGAGACCCGACTGTCGTGGGATTACATGTAGCCCGCTTCCCTACACTCAGTAGACAATCGGCCACACAGTGTTCTTTTCACAGTTAACCAACGTGGCATTCTTGCAGAGCGTATTAAAGGTGCTCTCCCGCGTAAAGCCGAGTATTTCACGTTCCTCGTAAATGCGATAGGTGAATGTACTCTCGAATGTGCCGATGAAGTGCCGAGCATGTGCACATATTAACTGATCCACAATCGCCTGTCCGCCATCCTTCATAAGCGCTTTCTGTGTAAGCGATTCGGGCGTGAAGCGTCGCATGTGCACTCGCTTCAGATAGGCCTTTAAATTGGTAATCTCCATTGCGTTGGTATCGGTGGCTATGTAGACTGTCGTCAAATTGAGCAGTTTCATTTGCGCGCGTATCTGCGTTGCTGCAGACTTCAAAGTGGGTGTGGTCTTCTGCCGTCCATGCACAAAGTCGCCGCGTCGAAAGTGTACTGCCAAGTAATCCCCACCCAGGGCTTTGCGATACGGGCGCTCAGCTTCCCACATGGGTGGTCGTTGCAAAAGTTCCTCTGCCGGTTGAGAATTCAGTACACGCGCGCGATATTCATCAGCTATTGCGACCAGCGACGCTGCAAAGCGCATGGAGCGTCGCGAGCGCCAAAACTCCTTGTCGCCCCATTGGTCGTGCAGCACTATCTCAGCGTTGAGTAGGGCGTATACCTTTATATCGTTCGCCGCCTCTGACACCGTGTTCTTCATGTGCTGCCGCAGTAGGTGTTCAAGCAGATTTACGCTACCTTGATAGCGTACACAAGCAAAGTCATTATCTAACAGCATGGGTTGCTGCAGTAGGTACCCCTGGAGATATTGATCCTTTTGGCAAGTGGTTTCAACTTGGAACTTCTCATGGAATACACCCTGCTCGAACATATCTTCGAAATGCAGCAGTTGGAATATTTGATTTACAGGCACGTAAGGTGACTCCTGCAGTCCGAATTGCCCAATCTCTGCCAAAAATTCGGGGAAATCTAGCACCGGTGCATAGCGTCGCATGCTCTCTACATCAAAAAACTGCGCCCATGGCAGGCTGTGTTGTTGCAGATGATTGGATTTCCAGTGGTACAGCCGGTGCCACGGCGGCAGCACCAAACGCAAGTTTTGGAAGGGTTTACGATGAGAGAGTTGGCGCACGAATACTGCCAGGCGTATGTAGACATCACGGCGCAAATTGAATCCTTCTGGTGGATTCACATCGTAGAGCAGGTAAATGGAGTTACGCCGCTCTTTGATTGGGTAAGGACAGTGAGGATCGATGGGTAAACCCTTGGTAAAGTTGAACGCATGGTGACGTCTATCACAGGTATTTAAGCTGTAATCAACTATTTCGCTGCCAGCCGCCAAATTGAGTAAACAGAAGCAGCCGGTGGCTAATAGAATACGCCACATTATGCGCTTATTTCTGTAACCTTTTAATTTAACAAATCGTAAACAACTTCAGCTTGTCAGAGCGCATTTGTTTCAATGAGCAACTCAACAGCTGTTCGCAAGGTCGTTTGCTGGGGTGACCAGAAGTAGCGCTAAGCAGAGGGTAGTTAGTGGCTTCCCTGGTTTCTGATTTGCGTAAAAAGTGGATGCACTTTTGTGGTCAGAACGTTGGCATTGAAAAATCGACCCGTGCTGATAATATGCGATTGTAAAACACTTTCAATCATTTTATGAAGTTTTTTTGCTAATTGCCATCAAGTTTCACTTTTTATATTTTATAACAAATACTAATATAATCGCACTCAATCACCGCGCCTTTTTCGTTTTATTTGTTTGTTTTCATTCTTAGGCAAGTGTCAAAAACGTTCAGCAATTTACTTTTTTCATTATTTTCCGATTGCGTGATCTTGTTAATTGGTTCATGAAATTGCCCCTACTTCTACTTCAAACTTTTACCGCACCACTCTACTGAACATGTTCCATTGCTCTAAACAGCTGTTTTCCCCCTTTTTAATTTGACATGCAGCCGGTGCTCTCAAACAAACGGCCAACAGCGCGTGTTTATCGCTCGCGTTTTGTTCTTAACAACGTTCGATTTTCTGGCTTTTCCAAAGATAAACTTGAATTAAAATGAGTGCGCGTCTATGGCAGACAACATGGAAATGGCAGCGACTTAGCCGCATTGCCCTGCGCGTCAACTATCAACCGAATGCAGCGGTCGTCGGTTATGCAACTGAAGCAGTGAGGAAGTCGCTCCAGCAATCAGTGCGGAACTACACAAATGGATCACCTAATAAATGGAATAACTTACAAAGCTCCTATGACACAACAGCTAAAGAAGCATCGGCTACGAGAACAACAAGAACACCTGTGCTTACTGTCCTGCTGGAGAAATTGATCTCGCAACATCAGGCCAGCGGTCAAGTCGTCTTCGAGTTGTGCGACAAAGTTATAACACAGCTCGAGAGTAATCCAAATGCTTACAATCAACTTTTGAGCAGCGAACAAGCACACTTCCTACTACGTGCTTGCGGTACTAGGATGCCGGCTCGTCCGAGCGCAACGCGTTTGGAACTTTTCCAGCGCCTTTGGTCCTATTTGGCACAGCACGCACAGCTAAACGCATCCAACTATTTGACTTGGCTGCATGTGCTGCAACATAATCGTGCGCCGCTCGCAGATTTCCGCTTATTCTTGCAAGAGTTCAACAAGCTGAATAATTCTAACGAACTTGCGCTTCCCGATGTCTACGCAGAACTATTGCTGACAGCCTGTAGCACCGGCGACATAAAGCAAGCGACAGAGGTGCTGGCAGAAATGCGCGAACATGAATTCCCACTGATGGAGCGGCATTTTAACGCGTTGCTGTTGGGACACGCGCGAAATCGCGATCTCGCAGGCTGTCGCACAGTGCTCGACAACATGGCTGCTGCGGGTGTGCTACCCAGTACAGAAACGCAGTCTTTGCTGGTATGCGCATATGTGGAAAATGAGGCGCCGGCAAAAGCGGCTGAGGTGTTGGACCAATTCCACGGTAAATTTGATGCTGTACAAGTGGTGCGAATGCTGCGCAGTCTCTTGTACGTGGAATCACAACCAGACGAAGAATTGATAAAGAAGTTGGTACGAGAATTGCCGAAAGATTTTGCTGAGGGCACAGAAGTGGCATTGCCAATGCGTCACTTATGCATCGAACTGCTACATCATAGGTAATTTAGGTTAAATATTGGAATGAACTAAAAATAATGAAGTTTTTCTTTTTTTTGCAGTCATCTAACCTCAGTGAACCATATAATTTCTAGCCTGCCTACGCCGCGCTTCAACGAAAATCAAAATATAGACACCTTTGGCGTTTTTCTGCTGCAAGAATTATTTCGCGCAAAATGCACCGCCACAGAGATAATCGAAGTAGCTAAACTGCTTCAAGACAGTGGGAAGAACACCCGCTCGCTACACATCACCACGGAGATAGCACTACGGCGCAATGCTGAAACGGCGCTGCCCTACCTGGAATCTCTAGCACAGCAGGAGCCACTGCGCCCTCACTACTTTTGGCCACTGCTGCTGCATAACCACCGACAGTCAGGCGAGGCCGGCGTTCTCAGTGCGCTGAAGCAAATGAAAGCCTTGAATGTGGCTTGTGATCGCGAAACTATTGCGCTCTACGTATTACCACATTTGCCGGTGACACTGCAACGCCCCGAACAGGCAATAAAAGCACTAGACGACATAGGCATCAAACCATCGTCAGCGCTCCTTGAAATAATTATGTATCTGCTGCTTCGCCAGCGGTTTGATGCGGCGCACGATTTGCTCGAGTTGTATCCAACTAAAATGCCAGTGGAGCAGCTAGTTCCGACACTGGCCAACGCAGCGGTAAACGTGCGTGCCACTAAGCGCTACCAACAGTTTGTCAAGCTGCTGGCTGCGCTGTCGAAAAAGAGTGAAAACCGCAAAGTTGACTGGGTGGGCCAACTATTGCTGGGCATGGTGCATGGGCAAATGCGGCTCCGCAGTGATCTGAGAGCGGTGTATCGCTTCGTCGATGAAATGGTCAAATTCGCCTTGGTGATATCGCCCGCTGCAGCTAATGCGCTAGTGGCGGCGCTGGAGGAGCAAGTAAAAAATAACGCCAACCTCAGTGGCATTAAAGAAGCGCTGCGCAAAATTACCGACAACAATGTGGTGCTGCCTCAAAGTACTGCAGCAGGCGCGATTGGTCCCAGCAATTCATTTGTAAAGCATCCGCGCGACATGACGTTGGAAGAGCTGGAATATCATTTAGTAGAGTTGGAGGCGAAAGGCATGAATACGCGGGGCGTGCTGCGCAGACTACTGCAATTGTGTGTGCGCGACGGGCGATTAGAACGCGCGCTAGAGATCAAGGCCAAGTGCGACGAGCTGAAGGTGCAAGTGAGCGCCGGCATGTTGGCTAGCACTCTGGAACTTTACATAAAGTTGAAGGATCTGCCCAATGCTGAGAAGAGCCTGCAGCGTTTACAGCAACAATTTTCCGGTGCGTAATTTTTCTCAAAGACTTTACCTTTTTTACATTGATTTTAATTTAATTTACAGACTTCACCGTAGATGAGCACAAGTTCATTGACTACGCAGCGCTGCTGGTACACAACAACCGGTTAGATGCGGCTAAGCAGCTGCTGCAAGAGCGCGCTAAAACGCAGCGCATCCAAGGCGGCGATTATGTTATAAAAAACGTTTGGAATTTCCTTACTAATATCGCACAGCTCGCTGCGAAAATGCCCACGCTGGAGCCGGAGCGCAATTTGACACGCGAGCACTTCCACTTCCTGCAAAAGCTGCGCTACTGCAATGCGCACAACAGCGTCCTGGGCCCGATTGTGCGAGAGCGATTACTACGCGGCGACATCAAAGCCGCCGTGGTAGATTTTATAAAACTCGCCGAACAATACAAGCATACGCCGCTACAATTTGAGCTGCTCTCGTTGTTGGTGCGGCTGAGTAACGGTCACGAGCCGGACGTCACACAGTTTGGCGGCGTGAGCGGCGATGAAGCACAACAACTACTGGGCGAAGTGACGAATACCATCTCCAAAGTGCATGGCGTTCTTAATATGAACAGCGGCTTATTGTTAGCCTTCGCCGAATCGGGCACCGACAGTCAACTGAGACGGCTGCTAATCAACCCTGAATTCCGCATCAATGAAGAACTGCTTATGAAAAATTGTGATTATCTGGGTGAAGAGGGCGCTGTGAACACCTTACTGCGGTTGGCGCGCGGCGCGCGTGGATTCGGCCGCATCATCGATGAGCAAAACATACACAATATGCTGCTGACACATTTTGCCAAAGCGAATAACTATGAGGCGGCGTTGGATTTGTATGAACGACTGGAGGCCGACGACGAGCTGAAAATATCGCAGGAGTTTTTGCGCAATCTAGTGCAATTGCTGCGCGTCAATAACGTCGAAATACCCAGCAGAGTGGCATTACGTGCGCAAATCATGTAGTAGACGGCGGCGACGCGTAGGCATTTAATATTTTAGTGGAGTTAAATTATGTGTACTGTGCCGAACATTTACATGTAAGCGAAGGATATCCGAGAAAATCAGGCAGAACGAAGACATGTCGAAGTATAGAAAATAAAAGGCAATCGTTTTGTTATTTGTATTACTTAAATTAATTTTATTTTTTAGCAATTTAATGCTAAAAATAAACAACAGTGCTAATTCATATGAATGGGCGTGCGTTCCATATGCAATATTTGCCAGTAATTTTGTTTTTGTAATAAATAAAAAAATAACACAAATGTAATGAATGTACTCTGTCTTTTAATTACAAAAAAAAGGGGCGGAAAAGGCAAGTTTAACAGCGAATGTAACGATAAAACGCTTATAAACCAGCGTAGGGCGCGAAAAAGATATTCGAAAAAAAGAAAACAACCGGAAGCGTAATTAGAGGTAAATAGAGTAACAAGAAGTTGTAAAAAATGCAATTATTTGTCTGAAATTTATGAATCCATTAGGTAACAGTATTTTATAACTTTACACTACCGTTACACTTACTAAGCGTATATACGTATTTATATATGTATGTAGGTATGCTAATTTAATTTAATTATATATATGTATATAATTTTCAGCACATTTCACTTAGTTTTTATTAATTCATTTATTGTTTTAATAACTCGTAAGTTTTTCGTTTTATTTATTTCGCGCTATTTCGCATAATTTCCTTTCCAATCAGTGTTTATGTGTGCATGTATTTTGGTAATATCACTCAACGCACCCACCATATGGCTTAATTTTCTTCTTTTTTTGCTCAAATTTTATTAATTTGTGTATAGCCTACCGTTGCGTCGTTAAATGAGGAAAATTTCCCAGTTAAATATAAGTTTGTATATATGTATGTATGTATATTGTTTTTTTTTTTGTTTTAATTTCGCCAGGGCGACATACAAACATTGGTAGATTTTATTTGATTATTGGGATATACAGAGTTAATAAATTCATAGAATATACATAGTTAATGACGTTTGAAGAAAAATGCTTTGCTTTTTTTGCTTTAATTTTGGTTGGAAAATGTTTAATCACAGCGTATTTTATGTATTTATGCATATATGTGTGTATGTATGACTATTATCGA